TTTTGGCAAAGCAGCCCTGGAAAGGAAATGTATGCCAGCCCAGGAGAGGGGTGTGGTGTGTGTGTATAGATAGATATATACAGTGGTGTATCCTGCTTTTGTGCTGCCCTAGGCAGGACAAAACTCAGGCACCCCCCCCCAATGCGCCAACCCCCCGCCCAACCCTTCCCCCCGCCTCCTAAATACACACACACATTCACTGACAGATACACATACACTCGCTAACAGAAACACACACACTAACAGACACACTCACACTCACAAACACACACACAGTCAGACACACACTAACAGACAAACACAGTCAGACACACACTAGCAGACACATACAAACACACACACTAACAAACACACACACATTAACAGACACACACTAACAGACACATATATACACTCACAGGCAAACACACTCACTGACACACAGTCAGACACACACATACACACTAACAGACACACACAGTCAGACACACACTAATAGGCGCACACACTCACACAGTCAGACACACACACTAACAAAACTCACACACATTAACAGACACACACTCACTGACACACACTCACTCACATTAACACATTTTTTTTTATTCACCCCCCCAACCTCCTTACCTTTGGGAGTGCTGGGGGGGGGAGGTTCATTACCTCCCTGGGGGTCCAGTGGTTGCCGTCTGGGCTGGGCTGGGCGGGCGGCTGGCGAGGGAGCTCTTCCCCTGAGCGGTCTGCTCAGCTCCCTCGCGTGCCGCAGAGTGAAGCTGGGAGCCGGAAGATGACGTCATCTTCCGGCTCCCAACCTCACTCTGCGGCGCGCGAGGGAGCTGAGCAGTCAGCTCAAGGGAAGAGCTCCCTCGCCCGGCATGCCTGTTAGCCGCGAGGCTAACAAGGCATTTGCCCTGGGCATTTGGGGGGGGGCGGCGTTTTTGCCTTGTTTGCCTCGCGGCTAATACGCCCCTGGATAGATATATATATATATATATATATCACAAATATATATATATATATATATACACACACACACACACACACACACACACTACCGTAGCACAATGACTTATAGGGCTGGCATACAATTCCCCCCCACATAGAATATATATCTCTCTATCTATGTTTATGAATTAGAATAACTCAATCTGGGGAAGCAAGACATAGCCATATTTTAAATGTTATAAAGGGATATTTAACATTCTCACTAAAGGATATATAAATATATACTTTTATTATTGGTATGTTCCTTTTTTGATTATAAATATTAGTAAAAATAAGCACGCTCACATGCAGGCACAGACAGTCTCATTGACACAAGCACACAACTTCACTGGTACACAGGCTCACAGACCGGCAATCTCACTGACACACACAAGATCATTAACAAAGAAAGAAACTCTCTGACACACACAAAGATGCTTACTTCAGACAAGCTCACTGACACACACATGCTCATTACAAGCTTACTAAAAAACATACGTACTACAGACGTGCTCAGACACACACATACATGTTTACTATAGAAGTGCTCACTGACACACACATGTTTACTACAGACATGCTCACTGACACAAGCTTACTACAGACGTGCTCACTGACACACATACATGCTTACTACAGACGTGCTCACTGACACACATACATGCTTACTACAGACGTGCTCACTGAAACACATACATACATGCTTACTACAGACGTGCTCACTGACCAACAAACACATGTTTACTACAGAAGTGCTCACTGACACATACATGCTTACTACAGACATGCTAACTGACCAACAAACACATGCTTACTACAAACGTGCTCACTGACCCACACATACATGCTTACCAGGGCCGGAATGGCCCACCGGGATACCTGGAAATTTCCCGGTGGGCTGCGGCACCTGGGGGGGCTGCATGTAGAGAGGGAGCCCTGCTCCCTATATTTTAATAATATCGGGGCCGCTGGCCGCATGTCGGTGACGCCGGTCCAGCGGCACACTGTGAGGTGATTACTCACCTTGCGGCCGGTGGCCCCATCTCCTGTGCTGTACTGCTGTCAGTATCAGTGAGTGTGCCGGGCAGCCGCGATCCAGCAGCACTGATACCGACAGCAGCATAGCTGTCAGCACAGGAGGACTCAGGGAGAGGGCGGAGCTAACTACCATGCTCCCTCGCGGTTTCCATAATTCCCAGCATGGACACATCATAGAGTAATCACTACTGTATGATGTGGCCATGCTGGGAATTATGGGAACCGCAAGGGAGCATGGTAGTTCGCTCCGTCCCTCCCTCAGTCCTCCTGTAACAAGGTCAGCAGGCACACAGGAAAATAGGGGAAGGGGGGGACAAAAAGAGGGGAAGGGGAAGAGAGACAACAAATAGAGGGGTAATAGAAACACAGGGGAAAGGGGGACACAGAGACTGAGGGGTAACAGAGAGACATAGGGCAAGGGGGGACACAGATGGAGTAAGAGAGACAGGGGATGGGGGGACAAAGAGAGGGGTAATAGAGAGACAGGGGATGGGGACAAAGAGAGGGTAATAGAGAGACACCAGGAAGGGGACAGAGACATGGGTTGGGGGGATAAAGAGAGGGGTAATAGAGACACACAGGAGAAGGGGGACACAGAGACAGGAGTAATAGAGAGACACAGGGGATGGGGGTACAAAGAGACAGAGGGGTAAGAGAGACAAAGGGAGATGGGGAAGAGAGACAAAGGGAAGAGAGGGGGAAGAGACACAGAAGGTTTGTTGGGGGGACAAAGAGACATACAGCAGGGAAGGGGAACAAAGTGACATGATTTGTGGGAGGCAACGCTGGGCTGGAGAAAAAGACAGAGTGGCTGGGAGATGAGAAAGAGGCACACAGAGTCTGGAGTTAGAAAGAGACACAGATGATATTTGGAAGGGGAGAAAGAGACAAAGTGGCTGGGGCTAAGAACAACACAAAAGGGAGAAAGACATACAGAGGCTGGAGAAGGGTAAAAAGAAACACACAGGGACTGGGATGAATTAAAAGATGCACAAGGGTCACTGTAAGAAAAAAAAGGAGACAATTGGATACAAGATACACTAAACGAGGTAAAGGTAATAGACGTAAATTGATGTTACAGTAACACATATATATATATATATATATATATATACACACACATATACCTGTATATTGATGTGTGTATTAGTAACATAATTATGCTGATAATATTTACACATATAGTAATAATTTATTTATGCATAATACACACATAAATGGCTATATATATATATATTTATTGAGCACGCATTGGTCCAGTCTTGTTCCTGTTGCATACTCATGCACAATAACATATTCAAAGTGAAGAGCACACCCATAGAACTTCAAAATAAACCAGATCACTTTATTTTTTTTTAGTTGTGCAACTGCAGACATTCAGCATTTCAGTACCATTACTAAAATATCCTTAAGAGGCCAAAGTAGTTGCACTGAAACATTGATTACATGGAAATGTACGTCTACTTAAAATAAAGGCGCTCTTTTGTTTATTTTGAAGCCCTATATGAGTTCCTTCGTTGGAGTAAGAGTTTTCAATTTAAAGTTATTTTTTCACCCTCTAAATCAGCACATTATGCTGGTGCGACGGATTATTGGGCTGGTATAGAATTTTTTTTCCAGGGCTGCTTTTAACTCCCAGTCCGGCCCTGATGCTTACTACAGACATGCTCTCAGAACACTTACATGCTTACTACAGACGTGCTCTCAGAACACTTACATGCTTACTACAGACGTGCTCACTGACACACATACATACTCACTACAGACATGTTCACTGACACATACATAATCACTACAGACATGTTCACTGACACATACATAATCACTACAGACATGTTCACTGAGACATACATAATCACTACAGACATGTTCACTCACACACATACTTACTACAGACATGCTCACTGACCCACACATACATGCTTACTACATACGTGCTCACTGACCCACAGATACATGCTTACCACATACATGCTCACTGACACACATACATGCTCACTGACCCACAGATACATGCTTACCACCCCACACATACATGCTTACCACAGACATGCTCACTGACACATGCATGCTTACTACAGACAATTTCTGACTAATGAGACATCATAAAAATTGATTTTAGGAGGTCCCCTCAAGCAAGCGATAAGCAATACGGCACAGCAATCGCATGCCAAGAGGGAAGACATGATAAAAGTTTGTGCTTGTCTCATCATTGATGTGCACTACTGCAGATATTCAACAAAACTACCCTCTAAAAATTTTTTTTTTCCCCATTTTTTTTTTTTTTATTGGTTTCCTTTCCTTATGCCCCAATATCTCAAAATATTACCTCACCGCTTGCCTTTATTTATAATCATTTCTTCTTTGCACCAGTTCCCAATATCTGGATGCAGCCAATTTGTTCTCCTCCAGCCCCTTTCAGTGGGAATGATTTTACTGATCAATTGTGGGTAAATTTGATTGGTAACTGAAACAAGCTCTCTTTGGACTCTGCTCGTTGTCACATTTTGTCAATAATTTAGATAAGAAAAATAAGTCCTTGCTTTTATTTATGTATTTTATGAAGACACAAGCACACAGGAATAAAGTAGAGAGACAGGCACCGGTAGATATGTAAAAGCAGATCAGACAAAGCTTGTTTTTGATGACAGACGTGCTTTAAGAAAGGAAGGACGTCTTGTCACCCACCTTTTAGAATTTTTGGTGAATGTCCATACATGTGTTACTGGCAGTGCCAAACAATATTCAGATTTTGGCAGTTGTTTAAACCAGCAATCACCGCGCATGTTTGAAGGAGCAATTATGTGTGCACTAAGAATTGTTCTGTCACATCACTGGACTTAGCTGAAACATCAGATTGAGGTCAGAGAAAGAAAAACGTGTGTTTGTATTTCACAGACTTCAAAATATATAAAATAAATAATAATGGGGGGTAAGGGGTGAACTATTATGAAATTCTTTCCAATAAACAGAGACTGAAGCCTTCAACAATATCTGCATATCACAAGTTTATTTCCAGGAATTCACTTCCAAAATCATTTTCTGACACCTCATGAAACAGAAAAAGAAAAAAATATATATTTATTACTGAAACAGCCATTTTAAAACACAAATTTTTTCTTATTTTTATTTTTTTAAGTTTTAACATAAATAGTTAAATTAAAAAGTTCAACCAAAAAAAAAAAAAAACTATTTACTTTGGACAAATTTCAGTTAAAGAGCAGTTCTGTTACATTCAGCGTATTCCTGCGTGTATTGGATGCAAAGGAGGCGGCTCACGCCATGTCACAAAAATTTACAAGTTCATCATTTGGGGACATTAACATTATTGGAGCCTGTCAAAAACAATATATCGATCTGAAAATGCTACCATTGTATTAAACCTCTTGACAAGATATGATGCAGATCATTACGTAAGCACAGTCTATAAAAGCATACGTTCTTTCAAGACATATGCTTGTACAAAAATATATATATATACACATAGTAAGCGAGGGCAGCCAAATACCAGATCTCAGGCTTTATGAAAACTACAACTCACAAATTTTGGTCAGTAGCAAGTGGCTTGCAATATTTCATGGGAGTTGTAGGCCAGGGTTGGACAAGATCCTCAGAAGTTGAAGTCCTACTCTTTATCATCCCTTGCCAATCTTACTCGACTGGGAGCAGATTTTTGACACGTGGGAATTTAGAATTCATCCACCTCTGTTGTAGTTCATTAATAAGCTTAATGACTGGTATTAGACTATCCTGCTGTAGCATGGATTTTAATTAATCCCTGTCACACTTTTTTCCCTTAACTGTCATACCCTGAAATAGGTCATCTAAGTTTAAAAAAAAAAAGGGACATTTTCTGATCCTGCAGTGTGAACTTGTTTGAAGCATAAGGGACATCTTATCGATTGCCAAGACATAAAATTATGAATTTTTTTTTATACTTTTAGGAAATAATGAGCTTGGTATGAATGGATTCATTTACTAAACATTTGCGGCTGTGAATAAAATCGTGTGTTTGTTTTTTTTTTTATAAATCCTTATCATATTCAGAAGTGGCTAAACTCTTTAATCTAAAATTTCCAGGTTAATTACAATAAAAAAAAAAAAAAAAAAAAGTTAATGCCAATTAGACAACTCAGGCCAAGCTACTGTGCTCGAACTGGAATCCAAGAGTCTGTTAAGCAAGACTCCGCTTCAATATAGGACATTAAGCCTTTAAAATTCAAGAGCATGTGTATCTGTCCAAAACAGTCTTACAATAGAAAACCTAAATTCATCCGTTTCAGTAGTGATGGTTAAGCAATGCCCTACTGATGTCTGTGGACCACTTCTCATATTCTTTGGTTACGGTTAACAAGTATAGATACTATTTCTCTGCTGTAAAACATTCTATTCTATATGATAAAATTTCTATATTCTTATAATATACCCTTACTATTATAAGGACTGCTATCTTTTCCCACATAATACACGTTATTTCTCTTTATACTGATTGGTGACTAGTAGTGCATTTTCATTCATTGATCGTTAATCTGCAAAGTAATGCAGAATAAATTCATAGCAAAAGGTTCAAAATTCAAAAAATATATCTATACAATGATAATGGTTATCCTATGGCATTTAAGAATAGTCAACATTTTGTATATTTTGCAGTTTATGAGATAAAAGCTCAAGTGAGATGACCAGATATCCAGCCCCTTGAGCAATGCTTCTAGAAGGGAGGGGGGAATATCCCAGCCATAGTTACCAATGTCGGCCGTCAGCCATTGTTTCCAACCATTAAGAGACACCCATTTATTGGCATTTATCATCAATTCAATTGTATTTATTACATAATCATTTTTTTAAACGAACACTATAGCATTACAATTACAAACATATATACCTAATGCTATAATGATCTAGTAATTATTTAGGTTACCAGACCCTGTATGTGGGGAAAAATCCCAAAACAAACCTTTTTAACTTACCATTTAACCTTTGCCGCGTTGGTCTCTATGCTGCTGTCCCGCAGGCCGAGATCATATAGATTGGATCTCAGCCAATACAATGCTTCTCCATAGGGAAGCATGGGCGGGTTAATGCGCATGTGCAGCACATCACCCCCCTGCGCCAATCAAATGCTCCTTGTGAGAAGCATTTGATTGAGAACAGTCTCACACCAAGTCAGCTGCTAGAGGCATGTTTAGCCCTGCAATGGAAATATTGTCATTCCTACAAAACAACAAAGTTTTAGATTACAGGGTTAAAATGTCAGGGCTTTCTCACTCAGACCACGTCATTGAGATAAAGTGGAGTGGGTCCCTTTAATGTATCTCTGTAGCACAATTACCATAAAACCCACCAAATAACTAATATACCTGGATACTCTAAGATATGGCAGACATACCACCGCCCTTCACAAGCGACATCAAGTATACAAATTGCAGAACAATGATTTCAATGCAACCCTGCAATCTTTTTCACATAAACCTTTCTATGATGTATACAGCTACCCACAGAGCTCACAGTCACTGTAACTTGGTAGCTTTAAATTAAAGGGACACTTTCAAATGGATTTAACGCTATATGTATTAAGATAAAGCTTTAGAAAGAAAGAAAAAAAAAAAAAATCTGAGCGTGACATATCTAGGTTATATGGTATTTCCAAAACTGAATCTCAGCCAATCCTGGATTTACCATTTCTTGTAAGGGTAATAAATAGTCCATGAACACAAGACTTGCCGTTATTATAGTGACGTGTACAGCTACACTGCAACAGAACCAGGTGTGCTGGTTTCATGTAGGGGAGGAGGGGAAAAAAATATAACAGTTAAGCATTGCACTAGACCGCTATTTCTGATGGCATCACACAAGTGATAAATCAAATCTATCATTGCATGTATCAGATACTGCATTCACGGATACAGTAACAAGCAAGGGAACGGAGAAAGGGTGATCTAGACTATAGAAGTCACAGATCTCTCTATGCTCTCAGTTGACAAAAGGAGTTCCATGTTGTGTACTCTGTTTGGGACATACTGCAAATCAAGATTCTACAGCCAATGGGAGGATGGTTGCAAACATGTCGACAAACTTTATTCAACTCTACAGTGTTGTGAAAAATGTGATGGGTGTTAGAGCTCATCTTACGTAAAATAAAAAACAGAAAAAAAAAAAAAAAAGAGTGCGCAAAGTTATAAAAATAATAAAATGTAAGTGTTCTAATATAACAAGCTGCCAGATACTTTAAATACCTTCCCAAGTATTAAGAATTGATTTATTACGTAAAATAATGTAAGAATAAACAATTTACAAATTTGCATTCACACTGTGATAACCTTAAAATCTGACAGTAGTAACCTTTGATGTGAATGCCTGGCTATTGCCACATTTTGGAAAAAAGATATAAAAGGGAAGTCTCTTACAATTACCCCACATTACACCTATAACTTGTATTAACCTTTGTCATAGAAATTGGCTTTCTTTTTATTTATATTAAGAGAACAATCCAAATAGTGAGCTGTAGTGGGTTTGGTACCCCCATTTAAAGGAGTTGAACCATTTTAGAAAGTTTGACTTGTTAACGGATATCTGCTGGACGCCACTCCGTCTCTACTACTTTCACACACAAAAAGTAGCATGCTTTGTCTTGGGTAAGCCCGGCCTTGTGGCTCTCACAGAGCCGAAGAGGAAGCAGAGAACGGGAGCCAGTGAACAGTCAAACCGTTCTAAAACTGACTCACAGTGGGTGGTGTAAGGCCTCTCCTGGCACCATAACCACTACCAGTGTGGTGCCCCGGGTGTGGTGCTTGCAGTGTTCCTACCAAGATTTAGCTACAGACATCCCACTCCAGTTTAGCCCTGGCACATTAAATACTGGGAGAAGCAACAGAGACATCAAAGAACATTGTTTAAGAAGTGCGGTGTTCTGATAAGCTGTGCAAACATGGAAAAGAGGAGAGATCATCAAAGCATGGTGCTTCTACGTATCTATGGTGATGGCCCCTTTTATAGAACGTTGTACCAATTTTCATATCGCATTTATACATAACGTCAGTGTCCCCTTCTCTCCCTCTCTGTCAGACAGATGCAAAACCTTTGAGAGTGAACTACAATGGAGGCATTCAGTTCCAGGATAGAGTTAACACAACATTGTGTATTTCTACATTACATTTTTCAGATGTCGTAAATACATATTTGTTAAATATTGGAGGCTGGCAAAGCATCACTCAATAGGCTGGATTTACAATTTGTCCACTTCTGGAATAGAATGTCCAAAAACAAAAAAACTAATTAATTTACCTTTTTATTAAAAAAGTTTTAAACCACAAGGCTGCATTGAAATCATTGTTGCCCTGCAAGATGCATTTGATCATAGCTTTTTTTGTACAGGTGAAATCTGGTTTCATTACAGAGGCAGATGTTGCCATCGAGTCTAAATGAACATCCTCTGACCCGCTAAGCTAAAGAAACTGTATTTTAGAGCAGCTTGTGCTGATTCCACAACTCAAACGTGTAACCTATGTCCCATTGAGTCAAGTAACCATAATTAACATGACATCAGCCTTGTACCTATTAAGATGTCAAATGTGGAACCCATCGATCACTTACCCATTTGTATTATATGGTTTGTGAGGTTTTTTTTTTCCCGGTTACAAATATTCACTATATCTCGTGGGTATATCGAAATTAATAATTTACTGCAAGTCAGTAAATTTGTCTGTTTACTTTGGTTCTGAATTGTGACCAGCCAGACAAGATGAAAAGTTGAGAGAGAGAGAGACAGAGAGACAGAGAGAGAGAGAGAGCGCGCAACTCTTTGTAATCCTCTCCTGTTTAAAACTAATTTCTACACATTTATGGGACATTACTGGTCACAACATTTTAAAATGCTGGATTCAAAGCATTTTTTATTGGATTCGCATTGTTTTGCAGGTGGAACAGCCCACAAATGGCTGCTGAATATATCAAGATTTATCTGCTGTATATAAACGTCAGTTGATCAACTGTGCACCATCAAGCAAATTATAGGGACAACATTTGTACTAAAGACATGTATGTCCAGCTGCTTTGCCAAAACTCCTATAGTTCTCTGCAAGTCAAAGGGTTATTTGAGTTCTAGAGTAAGGCTAGCTGTTTGAGCAAATAGATTCTAACTGTTAAAATACTAGAACATGCATTCTAGGAGGAGTTATTAAGAAAATGTTTTTGAAGTAAGATTTATTGTGGTAGCATATTAGCAATATGACATCCATAATCCTTTATTCTAGCACTATATTTATAAGCCCCCCCAAAGCTATATAGTCTGATCAAGTGAACCTCAATGGGAAGAAAGGACAGATTTTGACCAAATATAAAGACTGGCCCTTAGCAGCTGTGTCAGCAGATAATGGTCAATATCTTTGAGAATGGTTGGCTATGTAAGTTTATGTAAGAGTCTAATTTGCATATTTCAAGAAGAAGAAAAAAGCAAAGTTCTAACTGGTGTTTCAGCAGGAATTTCAAGAAAAAAATAAAATAAAAAAAGGAAGCATACAAAAAAAAAATGTAAGAGAATAGAAGACAAGGAAAGGATGCATATAAAAAAAGCATGCAAATCAAAGCTACATAACATCCACCACTACTCCAAGAAAATATCAGTAGTTACTTTAGAGGCTGCTGGAATGTGGCTGTGAAGGACTCAGCGTGTCGAACCAGGAGGCTGCAGCGGCCTAAAAGTAGCCCAAACTCCTGAATGCCACAGGGCACTGAAATAAATAAACATTGTATAATATCCCTTCCTTCTCGGTTTTGACTAACAGATCCCATTAATTCTTTATGGGTCAAGAGATCTTTCCAAATTGCCCCAAACAGTGTCTGTTATGACTTATCTACTCATAATAGGAACAAGATTGAGCAGCACATGGCATTTCAAACGCATGCCAACAAGTAAACGTTTGTGATCAATTCACTTGGACCACCCAATATCATTTACATTGTAGCAGGGAAATGGGAAGCAGTTTTGCTCACCTAATATTGGTAATAACATTTTGAAATACATTAACCATGTCCCACAATAATGACGCCTCCTTTCATGACAACTGAATAGCATGCTTTTAAGATGGAAATAAAAATCTCTGTTTGTGACACTGTCATGGAATGTTACAGAGACATACAGGGATGTCCATATGTGCAGGCAATTTCGAAATAGCAAGTATGCTCCCCAGTGTGTATCTAGTTACAAAACAGGAGAAAAACCTCACATTTTCAAGCCCCATGCACTAATATATTTCACATCAGTCTTGGAATCAGACCGTTTACCATTGATATGGCATTCGTGAAAAGTTTAAATAAAATTCCCCTAACCATAAAAGCTTACAAATTGCACAAAAAAATAGTGTTTGAGCTTAGTTTTTAACAAATAAACATTTTAGGAATTTACTCAGATTCTAGAGACCTCTGTGCAACTTGAGCAGTTTAAATCAATTAAAAAAAATATGGAAAATGAATCAAAAAACAAATGAACACGATGATTGGGGCTCAGTAATGTAACCCTCTATTCTACTCTCTTAAAACACAAACGTCTTTTTTTTTTGTTTTGTTTTATTATCAATAATAACAATAATAATTATAACAACATTTATGGAAACAAAAGAAAAAAAATGACAAAAAAAAAGAAAACATTTCTTACAACAAAGTATGGGAAGGGGGCCTGCTGAACAGCAGAAGGATTTATTTTTATACATATTCTTAGATATTTGTGTTTGTAAGAGAAAAAGAGGCCTCACTGCCCGAAAATAAAATAATGAGTACAGGGACAGCACATACACGCCATGTATATAAAGACAGGGTGATTATTTTTTTTTAGCACGTATGCAAGCTGCTCTGTGGTTCTTTACACAACTTTCTAACACAGCTGTGCCAGCTCACCACATTGACATATGCCTTTCAATATTTTGCTTAGTGGGAAAGACTAGAGATAACATGCCTCATGCTGATATTGTTCAGTATGTGACAAAGGATGGGCAGTGTGAAATTGGGATGAAGACAAGAGATATGAGCAAAGGGTGAGCGATCTGTGCAAAAGTTGGGGGTTGGCAATGCAGCAAAAGGATTATTGGACACTTAGGAATTTGTGTGTTTAGAGAGGGATCGGGGGCAATACATATTGTAAAGTCTATACGGTCAAAGTGCAGCACAAAGTCTTGTTTGTGTTTGTGAAGTATAGACTGCCTAATGGCTTTAGGGCTTAAGCTTTTTGTGTGAATGTTCCTGTTTTTATGGGGAGGCCATATTTAAGAACACACTTGCATAATACTACTTGGAGTGTACTAAACAAGGTGCCAGTAAAAAAACAAAAAAAACATGCTGAAGGTTTGTATTTCACAATTAATTTAGAGTATGTGTCAAGTCTATGGGGGATTTTTTTCTGGCTTTTTGTTTTTTTAAGTTTAGGATATGTCTCATCTTCAGCACCTATCATATAGGTAGCATAACATTAGTATTGGTCAGTTAATGCATTGATTATAGTAAACCATGGTATTAGACACCATGTACAATGATATGCAAATGTGTCAACTAAATTTAGGAGATCATCAACTGTGACCACTTAATCAGGACACAAATGACCATATCATTAATACGATGTTTTGCAAGCAGCCCTGCCTTTATATACATGCTCAGTCACTAAAGTATACAACACATACATACATACATACATACCCAACATTTACACAGTCCCCCAAATATACTCCATATGGAACACTTGCAGAGTGTAACCCTTTGGTGCCATTTGGGTACGATGCCTCCTTGGCACACAAGGGGTTAACTCTGATCATGATAACTGACAAACGGAAAAAACACAAAACAAAAAAGTAAAAATAATTCTATGTAAAATAAGTAGCATATTGCACCAGGCCTAAACTCCCAAGCACCTTGCAGGCACTGCCTGGGATCCGCATGTCTGAGGATGGGTGGACAGGAGAAGTTGGCACTGTGTAGGTTATCTTTATTCTCCCACCAGACGGAGACTGAGATTAACAAAGTGCACGTCTGGTTTCAAAAACTGACTCAGCAACAGATGCCATTAACATCCATAGTAAGTATGTCTTTTCACATGGTGTTGTGAAATCAGTCATTGGCACATACTGAGTATGTTACTATAGGGCAACGTCTCAACGGTGAATCATCAGTGGACCACATTAAACAATTACAACAACAAAATTTAGCCTTGCAAGAGAAGTGTGTTTTTCACTAATATAGTGCTTAACTATAACGTAGCATTGGTTTATTCACTAAACCTTGAATTGTGAAGAACTAAAAAGAACTTGACACATTTGTCCAAGATATACAAGCTGTCAAATTATAATTTTTGTCTATTTCAGCCAATCATTTTTAATTCTATAAATGTACAATTCTTGGTTTAGGTTTATTAAGGAAACCCTTCGAGCGTCTATTGCTGCCTTCACTTATGTTGATGGCATAGTTATTTTCAACGGCTGACTAGCATTAAGTGTGCTTTGGACAAATACTATACACTGCAGCAGAGTTACCCTCTATGTAGTTTTGCACGTAATATGCTTTGTTTCTGATATGGAGGTAATTGAGCACAGAATAAGCCTGCCAATGCCCGCATTAGACCAAGCGCAGAGTGCAGGCTGGGGAGACTTTAGCACCTACAGTAATCTGTGAACCAAGTATAGAAAATCTGCTAAATATAGAGTGCTAGTAGGGCTTGTAACGTGAGCCCTAGTAACTAAGTTTAACAAAACTAGTACAATTTTACTCACAATCCCAAACATTAGCCAAAACACTAAGAATTATTCACTAAAGTGAGAATCCAAAGGGACATTCCAAATTTAAGGTCAAAATAGCTTAACTAGAAAAATAAAATCTATAAAAGTCAGGTATGCTTTCAGCTTCACTACTCTGAACTTAAAGTGACACTATAGTCATTAGAACAACTACAGCTCAATGCAGTTGTTCTGGTGAGTATAGTCAGTCCCTACAGGCCTTTTGTAGTAAACACTGTCTTTTCATAAAAAAGACAGTGTTTACATTGAAGCCTGGGGACACCTCCAGTGGGAAAGTATTGGATTGGCTGAGATCATCAATTCTGATGTCAGCCAAAGAGGCGGATTAGGGGCATGGCCAGTGCATGCAGACCCGTGAAGGGCTGGAAATAAGGTAAGATTTAACCCTAAAGAGGGGCGCACCTAAAAACTGAATTCTCTTGTTTGTAAATTACCCTGTAAGTGAAGGGGTTTTCAAAGGATGTTTAAGAACACTGTATGCTATGTGACTAAAATAATTCAGAACTGATTAACGGAATGGGATTACATGAGAATTAATCAGTCATTTGAACACTAAACAAGTGAAAAGGTTTAAAAAAAAAAAAAAAATTGTTATTAAAAGACTCTCTGGGAAGCTGTGCTGATTAATTATAAAATAATAAAAAAACTGCTTCTTCAACAGAAGACCATCAACATCACAAATTGGATTATAAGAGGCCAAGATTTATCAGCAAGCTTTCTAGAAACTTACATTTAAAATAAGCCTGCAACCAATGAATTGTTCATTTGTAAAACCCCAGAACCACACACACGTTATATATATATCTATATATCTATATCTATATATATTCCTAACTCTTGATTCAGGGTCAAATTACAAAGGGAGTCATGACTGCACTTAACCCCTTAAGGACACATGACATGTGTGACATGTCATGATTCCCTTTTATTCCAGAAGTTTGGTCCTTAAGGGGTTAATAGTCAGGTAACCAATTTCAGTGGACACAGTTACCTAAACAGTTGTGAGCAGCATGTGTGGTGGGCATAGATCATAACCCCCTACACACACAAAAAAAAAAAGGATTGTCATGCTAGTAAAAAATGGAAATATACAAAGACCCACATATATGTTTTAAATAAATAATTGGTAAGTCTCTATTAACAGTATGCATTCACTGTGGGTCCTGACAGACAGGATATGAAGCTATCCTTTCCTTTGGATGTATATCATTAATTATTTTAGCACAGTGTGTACATAATTTGTTTCACTGTATCCCCACTAGTAACACAACACCTAGGTGACATGATAAAAATACCAAATTGAAATCTAGGAAAAGGATTCCAGGAGAATGAATCTAAAAAAATAAAATAAATTTTAAAAAGATAGGAAGTATTAATATATTTATTGGTAATGACTATGTGGGGCTGACTTATAAAACATATTTCCTTCCTTTCAGAGATCGAATTAAAGCTTTGTATTACAGGCTTATATATATCTGTAAATATATCTATATATGTAAATCTCTAGAAGCGGTCCAGTCATTCATACACAGCTACGTCTAACGAGTGCAAAATTTGCAACTCCTGTGCCTTATAGGTAGAGAAACAGTAGTGACACCACCTTAAAATTTTAAATTAAAACCTTATGGACAAATGACATTTCTTTGCAGCCATGACAATCTTGTGCAGAACCTACAAAAGCATCATTAGCAGGTCCACATTGCCCTGCTGATACCAAGCAAGTAGGACATTGGTCTTTAAGAACAAAGTTATGACAAAGCAATACATTTTTGGTAAATAACCCTATGGGCAGGGTTTGAAGAAGATGGTGTATGTAAGAAAGGGGGGTTTGGGTATAGCCCCATTATGGTTGGAGTTTACTTAATAGCACATCAGAAAATAGATTGATCTTTCTATAGTCCATTTTTGGTCTTCCATGCCACCCATAAAAAATAATAATAAAAAAAAAAAAAAAATAGCACCTCTTTATGTAAAATGCCAAGGATAACTGCTGGAATCCAAGCCCTTAGTATTATTTGAAGACTGGAATTATACCTGGAGATATACCTCAAAATTAAAAAAGGAGTCTCCCTTTAGTGGACATTTGACAGATGGAGTTACCCTTACATTACTACCGTAAAAAGTGAAAACATCTGGATAATCTATGTACAGCGAAATTCAGAGATAAATGATAAATCTATGTGCCCTCCTTGTAGAGGATTCTTTCTATTCTTTGGCTTTCCCTTCACTCAACAAGAATGAATTGAAGTCTCTGCTAATGCTACAGCTATTTAGACTCTCAATAAAAATAGTGCAAATTACAAAAAAAGGGGTTTCTGTGACGTTCATCAATTAAGTTACTGGCCAGTGTAGTGTGTCTTTGTTATGTCTCAAAAACTAAGAGAAAGCCGGTCATTAAAGGATCGACTATGGCATACACACACTCTCCTCGTTACCAACCCTCAACCTTAACAGCCAACTTCTCCTGCCAGCCCATCTTCAGACAACCACATTTCCTGTCAAGTAGCCTTCCGCAGACGCCAGATTCTCCCATCAGAACCAGCGCAAGTACCAGCAATGTCAGCTGATACACTAACGGATGGGGAAAAATCCTCTTGCCAGTTCTTCTGCCATATTTCTGAATGGGATTCTTTTGCTGGTTTTTCAATATTTGAAAATAACCAAATATTCCATTACCCTAACTTTCCCTGTTGCTTTCCCGCAAAAAAAACTAACATTCTCCTTCCCTCTGTCTACATGGGCAGAACCTCATAGTCTGATTCATGTTTACGAAATAAAACATCATCTCCCCACCATTCACTCTTCCCCTTTTTGTGGCAGCCCCGATTCTTGTTTGGAAGGTGTGGGTTTACAGAGTAACAAAATAAGAACCATAATGGGGGGAAAGGGCATGACGACTTCCAGAATAAGTCTGTGGGGAATGGAGCGGCACCGGGGTCAGTTGGAAGGAATACGGTTGAAGTTTGGCTCCAAAGCTGCAGATACTGTTGGTGTTCAGAAGATGGGACCCTCTATGACTTGACAGAAAACCTGCAAAAGGCCAATAATGGATTAGTTAAACCTCTTGAGATGTGTGTGCTCCAACGTTCGGTCCTGCCAAATCACTCAATTATGACAAATTAGAATATCTAATGAGGTTATTGATCAACAAGCAAAGATTAGGAAGTATAAACTAATTCACAAGCAAAGTTACTGGAAAAGACATGTCTGGTGCAACAAGCTGTCCTCTAATCAAACATTATGACAGACAGGAAATAAAATATATAAAATAAACACTGCACTCAAACACAGCAATAGATAATCATTTAGTCCTGATCTGAACTCAAAACAAGAAGTTTACAAACTATTCAAAATTCACATGTACATAAAGAAATTTAGTAGTATTGACATGGCCATCAATGTGTCAGCTGAGCTGTCTTAAAGTGAAATGGATGTGGCATTTTACCTCTCCTCACACTCCTGCTTGCTCCATGCTGAAGTTCATATCTGTGTGCTTATATCCCAACAGCAGGGTGGTGGGGTAGCAGGAATTGGGGATATGCTGCCCATTGTCACCCATCACAGACAGGTCTGTTGCTTCAGGATCTCTCTCGCAATCTGTAAAAAGAAAAATAGAAATTCTCATGCTGGAAGAAATAAGTGGAGAAAGGCAAAATGGTAAATGGCAGTGATGAACAAAACAGTAACAAATGAACCATAAGAATGGGTGCACAAGAGATATTCAAGGAGAAGATGGAGAGCCGCATGGGGGTTCAACGCGCTATAGAAACCAAGTCCATGCACTACTGGGAGAAGGGTGGAAAGTTCTACAGAAAGGATGACATAGTACAAGGCTCAAGCACTATAGAATTGGAGGCCTATGGGAGCATGTACCACATAAAGGTAGGCCTGGGGGGTAGTCATGCACCACAAAGAGAGAAGCATTTGCCACAAAGAAATTAAAGGTTGGCATCCACAGAGAGGGAGGAAGGGGTCATGCATCCACAGAGAGGGAGGAAGGGGTCATGCATCCACAGAGAGGGAGGAAGGGGTCATGCATCCACAGAGAGGGAGGAAGGGGGATGGGTCATGCATCCACAGAGAGGGAGGAAGGGGGATGGGTCATGCATCCACATAGAGGGAGGAAGGAGGATGGGTCATGCACCCACAGGGAGGGAGTAAGGAGTACTGTCCATGCGCCCCAGAGAGGGAGGAAGGGGGATGGGTCATGCATCCACAGAGAGGGAGGAAGGGGGATGGGTCATGCATCCACAGAGAGGGAGGAAGGGGGATGGATCATGCATCCACAGAGAGGGAGGAAGGAGGATGGGTCATGCATCCACAGAGAGGGAGTAAGGAGTACTGTCCATGCGCCCCAGAGAGGGAGTAAGGGGAATGGGTCATGCATCCACAGAGGAAGAGGTGGGGATCATGCAGACAGAGGGTAAACACATAACCAAGAAGAGGATGCAAGAGTAAGAAAACAAGATGAAAGAAGGAATGAATGAATGAATGAATGAATGAATGAATGAAGAAGCAAAAGAAAACAACAAACAAATACACAAAAAAAGAAATTTGACAGAACCCTTAAATTATAAAAGCTCACCCTTGTTTTCTCCATCCAGGAGCTGCTGGCTACCCCAGTCTAAACATTTTTTTTTAAATTTACAGATTGAGAGATAAAGAAAGGACAAGTAAAGAAAAACAGAAAAAATAAGAAATAAGAGTAAGTTTGGTGAGATCAATAAGATTAAGTGGAAAGTAAATGCTCACCCTCGCCTTCGTTATCCTGGAGCTGCTGGCTCCCCATGAGCGAAGACTGACTTAGAACAGCATCCGCCATACGAGCCGAACTTAGAGCTTTACCTGCCATTAAACTCATTCCCGCTAAATTATCTAACTGCACCTGTAAAAGAATAAGATGTATGTAGTCAATGTAGGTAGAGTGTTTCTTTTGCTTGTTTTCTTTTTTTTTTTTTTTAAACAGATGATGCAATCTCCGATCATACAAAATAAATAAATAAATCAAAAATACACATTGCTCCTTTATATAAGTTATGATTTCCAAACCGCAAGGGTTCCTTAAAGTTTTTTCTGATCTGCGATTTTTCTACAATATTGGGGAAAATTAGCAGTAATTACTAAAAGTAAAGCATTCTCCACTGAAACTAGTGGAACCAATTGACAAGTCCTCCCCTTTTGCAATGTTTCATCACTTTTCAAAACATGGCAGTTTAGTAAATCTCCTATGTGTAAGCACTAGCATTTAACCTCTAGACATCCAGTAACTGCTAATGTCCTGGTATTAGACCAACAAGTATTCATTATTCTCATCACACTAAGTCTTTAATCTAATGTAACATACATAGGCATCGTCGCTAGTCTGAATGGTGTGGTGTCGCTGAAGCATTCTGGAACGCGAGTGCTCACTGGGTGAGCCCCTGGGGGGGTAGGGAACTCCATTGTGGTCCGGAACATCCATGACTTGTGTTGGAGAGACCCTGTCCATGCATTTCACGGAAGGCTCTTTATGAAGAAAAGATATAAAATCAGACAACTGTGTAAACCAACAAATGCAAAAAAAAAAAAAAAATAAGAAGACCCTCCCCTCCACCTCCCTAATCCAAATAAAATAAAAATCCATATTTAATAGATGTACCACTAATGAAAACATACATGCATTTAATTATGTTTTTTTTTATCGTGGTTTTTTTTTTTTTTTTTATCTAAAAACAGGTGGCAGATCTCCTGTCTACCACCATGCAAGCCCTCCCCTTCTAACTCCGCCCAGACATTATGTGGCTGTCCAATCACAGCCTTCCCAATGCTGTTCAGTGAGAAGTCTTTGCAAGGCAGGTGCTCTGGGCAATAGCTGCCTCTTGAGTTTAGCTCCAGCTCTCGATCAGACAACTGGTCCTGTTACTTTCGTTTTTGTCTTTACCATTTTGCAAAAAGAGGGCACACACCACACAATAAAGGACTTCAATTGAATTTGGAGTGGCCCTTTACATACTGTAGTGGTAATGGTGCATGGAATCTTTGGTTGCCATCCTCCCATATTCTCTCAAACCATTTGAGCACTTTGACAAAACAAGGGCTCACCGGGCACATAAAGCCATGCCCTTCTGCTGATGCTCATATAATGTGGAACTTTACTATACCTGACAATATTAAGATGGAAGCATTTTCGCTCTCTTTTTCCCTTTTATTTGAGAACTTCAGAGTTTAAAATCTTAAAGAAGTCTGGTTTTACCTGATTTACCTCATCAAATGTGATTTGAGCCTATCCCTATAGGGCTAAATACAATGTGAGTTTGGTCCATATAAACGTATATGCCACTTTGTAATTGTTGACATACACCACCATATTTTGCTTTTTTTTTGTTTTTTTTGTTTAGATATCCCAGTTCCAATATACCTTCCTTTATTTGTAGAAGGGTAAGTGTCTATTTGTGTTAAATAGTTTCTTTATTTCGTGTGCAAAATAGTAGCAGACATAGCACGGGTTTGAAAAAAAAAAATTGATGCACTGTTGCCTATGCAGAGGCATAGTATGTCAAACAAAGGTAGGGCAAATAACATTTCACAGCAATTCCGACATGGGTAAAAGTGAGCAATTCGCAACATCTATCCAGTCAGCGTATGTATGCAGCAAGGATTTGAGCTAAATCTTAACCGAAGTATATGCACTGTTGTCTATGCATAGGTATAACGTGTAAGTCTAAGGTAAGGCCATTAGCATTTTAGATCAATTCTTATCTAGGTGGTTCTGAGCAGTTTGTATTGAATTTTCATTGTTGAGTAGGTAGTGGTAAGTTGAAGCCAATAATTTTTTAATGTGGCATTACATGTGACCTGAGGTCGTAAGTAGCATTCAGCTGAACAGCAATAGTCTCAACCTGGTGATGATTCAGCAACCATGCAGTAATTAGAAAGAACCAGTGTGGTAAGTGTCTATTTGGACATACTACTTTTTAGTGCTCCACTGGGTTTTAACTCTTGATGGTTTATTCCACTGAGTTAAATTTTTCTTTGCTATCATTTTCGTGTAATTTTTAGGTATTTACATGAGATTTTAGCTGCTTGCGCTCTCTCTCACATATACATATATATAAAAACAAACATATTACCATACAAGTAAGCTGCAGAAGAGGGGACTGGTAATGCTATGTGTTTTTATGACAAAATGCTCAACAAAAAAATGGAAGGATAGCACAAAAAACATTCATCACAATCACTATAATAAGTTCTAGTGGGTAAGGCGCTTTAGAGTGTGATGCAAATGGATGATCACTAATAGCTTCACATTGATCAGCTCCAAAAGGCAGCAGCTCCTCCGGGGAAAACTACAGTTGAGGAGGTCTTTCACAAATCAATATGGTACTCATTATGCATTACTCCACTACCCAATTTATCTGAGATTACGCACAGGTAGTTAGGTTAGTGAAGAGGACCTTCAAGTTTCATGACACTCAATGTTACTAAACAAAAAGTAAATATGACAGTGGCCAGGTGAGCAAGATGACTTTTGTAATTCTACAAAAAATTAAGAGAAACAAGTTTACAATGACAGATCTACAAAATAGTTGATAAATGAACCCGAGTGCGGTATGTTACATTACGTTAACTATAGCTTCCACTAGGATGCGGTTATACAAACTCCAGCAGTTAAAGCAGAATTCCTACTGTGGAACAGAGTAAAGATTTTTATTCTAGCATCGTGATGTGCAAGATGCAGATGTTCTTTAAACACCTAACTTAACGTGTCAGCTCAACGTAGTGGTTATAATGCCAGGAATACCCTTGCCAATCTGTTTATCAATGATTTGCCTTTATACCTGGGTCCCAGCAGACTCTTAGGCCCCCTGCTACTGTGGTGACACATTTCGAGCATATGAATCAGCTGACTGCTCTCAGTTAATGAATAAATGGCACAAGAATAACAGTAGCCAGGCTGTTACCCTAGTAGCAGAGGAGGAATTACTACTCCAGCAGCCAAGCATTCCACTTAATGTGTGCCAAATTTCACAGCAAAACACTGCACTTACAGACTCCACGCACCATGACCACTTTAAATCACTGAAGTGTTCAAGGTGCTTTGAGTAACCCTTTAAGCAGGTAAGCAATATAATAATGTCCCTTTAAAATGTCCTTTCCTCCACAAGTGAGGCAAAGCATGGGTTAAGTACAGCGATTGTGTGTCCAAAGGCTGTGAGATGCTTCTACCTCCAGAAAGTCCAAGAATCAGACAGATAACAAGCCACTGAGATAATGAGACAAGTGTGTGCAGGAAGGGAGGAGAGCAAAGGGTGAATAAAAGGGATTCTAGACACATGAATCATTCATGGTAAGGGCAGCTGGTATCTTTGTCAAGCTGTTTAGATAATATTTTACTTAACCAGCATCTATGTAGCACTTGCATTAGCGCTAGCAGACTGCCGTTTCACCTGTTTAATTCAGCACCTTATTACAGATACTGTCCTATGCCCTGAACTCCAATGATCACGGATTATTTTCAAGCCAAAAGAATTTAAAGGGAAACGGTCAATTCTCTGGAAATTACACTATTGAATAAAACATTGAATATCACCACTTTGGTTAACAAGCATATAAAGAAAAGGAAATCCTGGGATGTAAAAGTTTTTAAAATGTGTAGGTGTGATTTTGACAGATATCTAGAATACCAAGCCATATTCTATAGCAATCAGGTAGAACGGTCTCTAAAACCATTTTCTCTTTCTACAATGTGCAAATCTTACCTCTGCTGGTAGGCTTGGTCCGGCTGTAGGTCTGCGACTGGTACTGCTGTGTACCCAGCTCCTGCTCCCTAATTGTCATTGTCCCCAACATAGATTCTGTATCTCCATGTCCAGTCTCCTGGCAGGGCTTCACCAGGGGTCTGACAGTCTCTCCCTCGCCCTCCCCATGTCCATCTCCAGAGTTGTCCTCCTCCATGCTCTCGGAGTGCAGCATGGCTGGGTGGTACCTGGATGATGAGGGAACAGTTGGAACTGGATGGATACATTCCTGTGCTCGGATTTGAAGAAGGTGGTGGTAGGGCTCAGGTGAGCTCTGGTAGGAAATGTTCCCAGCATCACCCTGGCTCAGGTGCTGGTTAAAAAGTTCATTCAACTCTTGCTGCTGTTGCTGGTGCTGTTTGAGAAGCTGCATGAAGTCAGCAGGGGGCAGGCGTACATCTCCATGGCCAGTCAGAGAATGACGAGGGGAGAGTAGACCCTGTAACATGTGAGGCAACTGCTGGTGATGCCTGGTATAGGTGGCAGGGGTGGGGGATAGTAAAGCCTGTTGCAGACTTGAGGGATTGTAGTTCTGCTGGGGGGTGGCAGGGAAACCAGGATACTGCTCCATTTGAGGTACCTTCATGACCTGCTGGTACCCTGTGCCACCAGAAGTATTGTATCCTGTGCTTGCTGTGGAAGTGTACCCGACAGGAGGAGGCCGAGGCTGATCTGGGAATACGTGAGGGTGGAGGTGGGTCTGGTCATAGTTTGTGGAAGGGGAGAAGCGGCCCACGTTCAGACTGAAAAATCATGGCAAGAGTAATTGGAATTGGTGAGGAAAAGAAAAATAGTGTTAACTTGTTGGGACAAAAGCACTTTTAACTGTTAACACACACTCTCTGTACTAACGGTTACATTCCAACTGTTCTGTGCCTGTAGTGTACTTAAAGACAGTCCATGATATGCAAGGTTACTGAACAAAGTGTGAAGTGTTAGGAATTCAAAGGAAATATAACCTGGATTTCAAAGATATTTTTTGCAAAAGCAGACTATGTAAGGATATAATTAATGTGTGTGTGTGAACAAGTTGTTGTTCCAATTAAAAATCCGATTGCCATTATGGAGTCAAGACGGATTGTTTCCCCTTTTTGGGGCAAATAGGAAAACCTTCAAATAGCTTTGTTGTTTTATTTTTAACAGTCTTTTTAGAGAAAATGCAGTGTTTACATTACAGCCTGGGGATACCTCCACTAGCCACTCCTCAGATGGCTGCAAGAGGTGCTTCTTGGTGAAGTGCTGCACACTTTCAGTGTTTCCACCATTTGCACAGAAACACTGAATTTTCCTCATAGAGATGCATGGATTCAATGCAGCTCTAAGTTATCTCTGCAGGCATAAGTTCAATGAACTTGGACTAATGGAATTCATTTACCTAGAATGTAAATATTCCATGAATATACAGTCTAATGCTACATGCTGAATAACCTTTCAACTATAATCTATCTAAAATAGAAGGCTGTCTCCAGACAGATTTTTAATTCAAAATAATTTTATTAAAAGAAGTCCGATGTAAATCAAAATAGTCAGATTTAAATAAAAAAAGAAAAAAAAATCTAAATAAATATTTAGTCACCCTGTCATCCCTAACAGCACAGAGGAGATCAGTTTCTGAGGACTCTTGATTAACATTAAAAATGGTAGACTAGACACTATAACCACTTAAATGCGATGAAGCACTTATGGTGCCTGCAGTATCCCCCTAAGGGTAAGTGACAAAGGATATACAAGTGGTAAAATCATCCTAAAATACTATAATAAAATTCCTGCTGACTACTGCCCTTGTGGACCTTTTACCCCACAACTGCATTTTTATTTAACATTTTAGTAGATAAACCCACAATTAATGATCTGGGGCGAGTGTGTACAGGCTTTCAGCCCAAGTTCTCCACACTGAAAGCAAGGGAGTCAGCAGACAGGGCTAAAATGGGATCTGTGGGATAAGGCAGGTAAGGTGTTTGTAAAATTAGTTACAAAAGTGCCGATTCTGGGAAAAAAAAGTCAGCACTTTTAAAAGCTGCAATAAAGGGGAGATACACCTCAAATATAAAGCACTGAGGTGCTTTAGGTGTGTGGAATGTCCCTTTAACAGCAAATTAGGCAGCTGTTATGAGCACAATTTTAACAACATGTTTTAAGCCAGGTCGCGCCCCAAAAATTGTATTTTAATTATGAATGTGTGATGTACTTCTAACGCTTAAGCAGGCTCTGGAATTATGGAATAGCATTTTGCACTAAACGGAGATACTGTGTTAATGTTAATGGATACAGCAATACATTGCGCACCGGACAATACAAAAATTTTGAGACAATTCTTTTTTAATCAACAGTGACTGAACGTCCACGTTTTAATGAAGCTGCTCTTATAATCTCTTCCACAACCAATTGCTAAACTTTTCGCCTTTGCCAAATATATAGCTTTGTACAACTACAGCAAAGCCCTCTACGTACCTGTGCACTTCAGCACTGTCTGCACTCAGCTGCTTGGACAAGGGTCTGTGACTGTAACAGCCCAAAGATGCCATGAACGTAGCTCGCTGCTGCATCTGTATATGGTTGGCACAAGGATTGATTGGCACACCCCGGGAGGATCCTGGCATATCTGATGGCTCCTGAACTTGGATGGTAACTTGCTGTGCAGACTGTTGGCTCTGCGGCTGGATATTCATCCGAGGCAGTGGCATGTTTGGAGGGGGAGAGCCACTGCTAGAAGGCTGATAGATAGCACTGTGAGGAGGCATCCCCTGATATGGAGTAGAAGTTGAGGCCCCTGGTAAAAATTAGAAATAAATATATATAGATTAAAAAAAAAAAAAAAACACGCATATACATATACACAGATATGAAATAGAGATAGAGTGCACACGGAACATACCATGAGTCTGGAGCATGGCACTGGAGGACGGTGGAGGGCTGCTGTTTGGCTGCCTAAAAAGGTGATTGCTGGTTGGATTTGGGGGAGGACTGGAAGGCTGAATTCGCAACCTAAAAAGACAAGAACAAGCTATGAACATAATGGGCATTAACCCCTTCAGGACAGAGTCAATAGTACACGTTCTGATCAAAACAAAATGTAAACAAAAACTGGAATTTGCATCTGTTCAACCGTAATTCACCTCTTTCATATAAAGTGCACCCACACTTATTATATATCATTTTGTTCAGGAGAAACAGGGCTTTCATTTCATATCAAATATTTATAAATGAAACAATTTATTAAGAATAAAATCAAAAAACTGAGAAATAAATTTTTTTTTTAAATAATTTGTAGTTCCGCCTCACATTTTAGCTGTAAAGGTCATAATACTGATAGCTTTTACTGCAAAAAAAAAGCACATATTTGGATTCAGAAAAGTTTGTGAGTGCAACTTGTAACCCCCCTCCCCAAAATGGTAACTTGTATTACAACTATAATATCGTCAGTAAAAGTGCCGTTCATGTGTGAAAAATGCAAAAAACTTCACTTTTACTAAAAATATCATTATTGTAATACAAGTTACCATTTTGAAACACTAATATTTGTGTTCAGCGAAGTCTCCTGAGTAAAACAGTACCCCCCATGTACAGGTTTTATGATGTCTTGGAAAGTTACAGGGTTATATATAGTGCTTGCAATTCAAATTCTCTGCACTTTTTGCCTGGGTTGTCAGGCATGTCAATCAAATTTTAACTAATTAAAGGACCACTCTAGGCACCCAGACCACTTCAGCTTAATGAAGTGGTCTGGGTGCCAGGTCCAGCTAGGCTTAACCCATTCTTTTATAAACATAGTTTCAGAGAAACTGCTATGTTTATGAATGGGTTAAGCCTTCTCATTGACAGCCGCTAGAGGCGCTTGCGTGCTTCTCACTGTGAAAATCACAGTGAGAGCACGCAAGCGTCCATAGGAAAGCATTGATAATGCTTTCCAATGTGACCGGCTGAATGTGCGCACAGCTCTTGCCGCGCGTGCGCATTCAGCTGACGGGAAGGAGAAGAGGAGGATCGGAGGAGGAGAGCTCCCCGCCCGGTGCTGGAAAAAGGTAAGTTTTTACCCCTTTCCAGAGCCGGGCGGGAGGGGGTACGAGTATGTTTTCCTGGCACTATAGTGGTCCTTTAAATCACATAATTATGTTAAAATATTACTTTTTACACTTATGTAGTTATTTATGTAATTATATATATTATATAATTATACATATTTATCTGTGTTATTTTTATTTTATATATAGATATAGAATGTCATTCTAAGTGTACTTTGTTACCAATATATAGATTTATTGATAAAAAAATACAGTTAGATTGAAATTACATATGTATATATATATATATATAATTTATTTACTTTTTTTTTAAAATATTTTATTTAATTTTATTTATTATTGTAATTATACGTGTGTGTGTGTGTGTTATATAAAATGTATATAGATGTATTATATATATATATATTATATATATAACCTCATTATAAGTGTATTTTAATACTAATATCTGTACTTATATATATATATAAAAATACATTTTATTTTAAAACATGTTTATTTTTTTTACTTTCCCACCAGCAGGGGGACTGTGACATTTCAGACAGTCCCCCTGCTGGCAGATCTACAGCCAGCTATAGGGGGCCATGTGATCGCTCTTTGAGAGCGATCACATGGTCCCCCGGGGCCTCATTTGTTATGGAAAGGCTGCCTGGGCTGTCAGGCAGCCCTCCAGAAGAGAACTGCGGCGGAGGTGAGTAGTTGCAGGCTCCTGCGTTTTATGCTGCCGCAACGGCTTTAAAGCCCATTTAATGCGGGACAGCATAGAACGCAGTAACGGCGTTAAGGGGTTAACCTTTTAAAAATAAATATAGAAATAAAACAATCTCTGCATAAACATTTATTTGAGCCTGTTCATGAGTAGACATAGGACAATATAATGATATGGGGTACAGACTGAGGTTAGGGGTATTTATAATATTAAAGTAACGAAATAACAGACAACAAGTAGGTGGTGTTGCACTAAGTAGGTGTAAAAAAACAGACGCACAGTCAAATAAGTAACCTTATGGCATTTCAAGGTACACTGCTTTCTAAAAAGCCCTTGGAGTTGAAAAATATGAGATAAGTACATTTACACATTATCAGATGTGTGGCTTGCTCTCTTTATACACCATTTACAAATTAACAGTTAGATACATCAAGCATTTTAGGCTTCAATAGCAACTAGCATATAATGTGTGTAGCTTATGAAAAAGTAGCATCTTGGGTGGGGACGATTTGGAGTGCTAGTGCTTTCTCCTATCTTTCAGTTCACTACACTCCAGGTCTGGAATTTGTTTAGGTCTTACACCAATGGGGAAACACACCACAGACAAAGACAATACCTCTGAAGCTGGTGGGTAAGCAGAGCTGGCTGATTTTCACAGGCTGGTGCCACGGTTGAGGTCTGTAGAGGGGGTGACGGCTGTGGGGGGCAGATACAGTCCTAAGCAAAGACAAGAAGGGAACACTTCACACATTTGTGTTTACAATGCAAACCAGTAGGATTCCTCCCATGATCTATAGCAGTGATGGCTAACCTTGACACCATGAATTATTTCTGGACTACATTTCCCATGATGCTCAGCTAACTTTAAGAGTATACAAGCTATCTGAGCACCATGGGTAATGTAGTCCAGAAACAATTTGTGTCAAGGTTAGCCATCACTGATCTATAGACTAATGCGTAATTCCTAAATTGGCAATATAAACAAAGGTTTGAAAACTGAAGATGCTGAAGATCCCTTTATGGCATGTTATAAAAAGGGACAGAAGTCAAATAATGAGCCGTGAAAGCATAGTCTACCAGCTGTAGTAAATGGATCCCCCGGTAAGGATTTCATGGACTCTCTCGTACCTGGAGATGCTGCTGCAGAAAGTGCTGCTGATGTTCTTGCTGATACATAATGTGCTGCTGCTGTGTATGTTCCAGTGTCCTCTCATCCATATGTATACCATACATTTTCTGCAGCTGCTCACACTCCTGTGAAAAGACGAGATTATCTTTCTCAATATGGCAAACAAACATTGTTACACATGATAAATTAGATGCTTACTTGCACCTTCCTACAAGGGGTGAACAAGTAGCCACTGACTAAACTACAATCCCATCACCAATATAAATCACTTGTGGGATTACTAGCCTGCATTGGAGAAAAAGCAAGCAAGATAGCTACTGTTCCAAAGAGAAGTTAGACAGACATCCAGTGTCTTCCATATACAGTATTAAGACAAAGTGACGAGTTTCACATGGTTTTTCAGAAGCTCCCTTTATTATTTGAGTAAGCACACAGCATCTGGGCAGGAATTCTACTTTCCTGGAGGGAGCTTCCAATATAATCAAATCACAAGAAGTAAAAAAAAAAAAAAAAATTTAATTTTTTTTTTTTTTTTTAAATGATGCACTTATATTGAATAGGACTTTATGTGATCAAATGTTACATTAAAGTAACAATAAGGTTTACAAGTTAAAGACAAAAACACAAAGTGAGCTAGCAAGGAACGGGATAGATTGCCAATACTTTAAGGCAAATTTTATTTCATTTGGTTTTCGATAGGTGTATAAACTCTAGATTCAGTTTGACAAATCTCACGTGATATACTATTTGCGAATTATAGAACCGTATCCACATTTTGAGAAGTCTGAAAAATAGGCGAAATCAGAGGAAGACTCTTCTAGGGGGCTTTCTAAAGCGGGTTATTCATTAAAATGATACAATTCAACAGCAGAGCAATTCAGTAAACCACCAAAAAATAAATTGGTAACTAATCAAGGAATTGCAATCTCTAGATCAAAATTTAGACCTGGAAAAATGGGTCGATTTTTTTTCCCCTTCTATTATATAACGTTACAATTCCCTGCTCATTTACTGGCAAATACCAGCTTTTATTTAATAAGCTTTCCAAATGATTAATTTACAAAGAATTCCATAGGATTTACTAGGGACTTCTGTTAGATAAATTATTTGTAACGTTTCTCTAACAGCATTAAACATTATTTTCAAAGCGTATTAAATAAAGGCCTCAATGAGCAATCCTTTAAAATATTTGGAATGGATGTTATAAAACAGACTTTTATGTTATTTTTAAAGGATGTTGATTTGTAAGCGCTGGTAAATAAACATAATACTAGATATGAATCTGAGATCTAAAGGCTTGGGGGCTTCGAGTTACCTGCTGTAACTGTTTGATGCTGCTGTTATGGTTGCCCATTTTCTCCAGGTGAGCTTTGAAAGCTTGTATTGTGGCAGCACCGTCAGAGAACCTGCGCACGGGAGAGAAACGCTCAGCAGGAAGATGAAGGGTATTTGAGTCTTTATACATGGATCTTAAAAGAGAAGAATGTAGAAAATGGGAAGAAACAGTCGATGAATAAACTGTGTTCGATGGATATATTTGAGGATTGAAGACAAATGACATACCACATATAAGGCAACGATAAGCAATCACATCTACACAATTGCACAGAACAAAATTATAAAAACACCATAAGAGAATATATTTATTATAACTGCAGCTGCAAAGGTGAATCACATTAGGCTGAACGTCAAGTGACATCACACATCTACTGCAAAAGAGGAAGCACTCCAAGTAGGAGTTTTCTAGACAAATCATAAAAACTACAGAATGGTTTCATTTACCAGGGAGAACACAACATAAAAGGAAAGAGTTCCTAGAGTCGAATCTGGTTGTCCACTCAATCAAGTGTTTTAGCCTTTCAATGTGAGAAAATCAAGATCAAAAAGGTGGGGATTTACAAAGAGGAAAAAATAACCTTTATTTGAATGTATTTAAAGGGCTTTAGTTGCCACCTACATAGTACCCAATAGTGTTTAATTTTGTGGAAATACGTTTTATACACCTCATCAGTAGGGGGTTGTGCTCCGTTTGTAGAATAACAGAAGGCCCTGTCCAACAGGCTGTAACAAGCACACAGTATCCCTACTCCCTACTTATCTGCCAGAACTCAAACATATAAGAAGTGTCGAAACACAAACAGATGCAGATTGTTCACTTATTTTTGTACTTCCGTCTGACACTTGTTCTATCTAGTGCATGTTTTTTTACTACAGCCTAATGACGATTGAGTCCCCTAGTGACTATATTGGGGCACTATGCATAGGGACTAGTACTTACATATAGATTAAATGAACCTTTCTGGAGTTGTGAAACCTTTTGGCACAAAACTAAATAATATTGGATACTATCAAGGTGGCAACTACAGCCCTTTATTATAGTCAATAAAGGTTAAAGGTAAATTATGAGAAAATCAGCCAATTCTTGATTTCTGCAGAACCAGAACATCTGTATCCAGAGGAGAGTTTCTGGTTTTTTGTTTTTTTTTATCTTTTAAAGAAATGTAGAAGTATGATTCAGACTGGAGAGAACTCCTATTTTTAACATTACATAAATTATACAAAAATAAATTAAAAACAGTGTAAATACAGGGCTTGACAAATTTGCGTTAAATCTAGGAGCCAGGTTTTTCAAAATCAAAAATACAATTCTTAAAGGGACACTATAGTCACCAGAACCACTGCAGCGTAATGTAGTAGTTTGCGTGTCTACAACCTGTCCCTCCACACTTTTCAATGTAAACCCTGCCTTTTCAAAGAAAAGGCAGTATTTACATTGTTGCCTAGTAACACTTCTAGTGAAAGTCACTCACACAGCCTCTAGAATGCATCCTGGGTTAGTTCGGCACAGTATGCAGTACCTACGTTTAGCGTCACCACGCTCTGCAAGGATATGCTGAATGTTTCCCATAAAGATGCATTCATTCAATTCCTCTATATAAGGAAATGCTGATTGGCGCAGCATGGCCTTTTGCCACATATGCGCAATAGCCTCCCAATGCTTTCCTATGGGAAAGCATTGGATTGGCTGAGATCATCAAGTACAGCGTGAGGGTAAAAATGGGGAGTAAAAACTCCTTACACGTGTGATTGAAGGGGGACCAGTCACCTAAACACATACACTCACTCATAGACACACACACAAACTGTAAATGCAATAACAACACACATTAAGGTGACCACCCAGCCTCCCTAACTGGAGTCGGAGTTGTTTGACTTTCCCTCGGATCCAGTGGGGCTTCAGTCATCTCCATAGAGCGCTGTTTAGTGATGCTGGGGCGAGAATGACGTCATATTCCGGCTTCCCGACATCACTGAAGGATGCACGAGGGAGCAGAGCAGGGAGGGAGGTTACAACTTTCTTGCGCACCTGACCGTCTGTCTCAATCCTCCAGGAGCCTCATGCCCAAGCGCACAGCCCATGCTCTCTATCAGATGGCTGGCCGACCGACCGCATGCCCATGGTCTTTATGAGCTGGCCGCCTCCACTCATAGGCGGCTGACCACCTCAGCCTGAATGGGCGAACAAATCTCAGGTGCAAGGAGTAAAATCCTTGTCACCATGGCGACCTGGGATTTGTAGAGCCGTGTATAAAAAAAAAAAATATATATATATATATATATATATATATATATATATATATATATATATATATATATATATATATATATATATATATATATATATAAAAATTATAAAAATATTACATTTTTTTTTACTGTATTTGAGTATATGCTATATACTTATACCATATTGTGGAGTAATAAATAACAGGTAAAATGGAGACAAGGGCAGGTCAGTGACTTATAACCCAGCATCATAGCATGTTACGGTGCCTGGATTTTACCAGTTTTTAGTTTGTTTTTCCCCTTCTTACAATACGTTATTATATAGTTATATAATTCCATGAAATTTCAAGCCATTTATCAAAATAATAAAAAACTGTGCTGGTCCTTTAAAATTCCCTAGTAACCTAGTTGCACAAAGGATTGAGGGGCTTCAGATCAGTTTGAAGGTGGAATGCTGATAAATGACATTACTTCCCCTAGAAGTATGGATTTAACATTTGTTTAGTTTCCTCTGTGTATTTCCTGGACACAGACGATAATTTTAATTTCAGCAAATTCAAATTAGCTCAAACGAAAAGAAATACACAGCAAGCTGGTATGATTTTTTTTCTGTATTTTGGCAACCCTTATTAAAGGACCACTCTAGGCACTCAGACCACTTCAGCTTAATGAAGTGGTCTGGGTGCCAGGTCCCTCTAGGATTAACCCTTTTTTTTTTTATAAACATAGCAGTTTCAGAGAAACTGCTATGTTTATAATAGGGTTAATCCAGCCTCTAAAGCCTCTAGTGGCTGTCTCATTGACAGCCGCTAGAGGCGCTTGCGTGCTTCTCACTGTGAAAATCACAGTGAGAAGACGCCAGCGTCCATAGGAAAGCATTATGAATGGCACCCAGACCACTTCATTTTAGCACTAACACATTATTTGTTTAGTTTTAACACTTTTTTTTGTTGCTTTCATCACTTATTTTGGTATACTCACTATGCTCTTATCAGGATTTAATTTAACACTTGTATTTAACACTATTTAATTTGTCCCCCACATTTTTAGTGTAGGACCCACCAATATTGGGGTACTTTGAAAGTAGTGGAGGGCTTAACAACATATGGCCATATGGTGGAACTAAATCCCCATATTTATTCTCAGATAGACATTTTAGTAGCCTTCTTTGTATTATATTTTTTGTAGTCTGAGTGCGCTGCAACTATTTATTCTCTTATACATCCTACAAGTGTCCTAGATCAGATCAGTATGGTTTCTAGGATATGTAGCAATTTCTTTTCTATATAAACAGTGTGTGTGTGTGTGTTTTCTCCAGCGTGGCAATTGGTAGCAGGCATACAAAGTTTACTTGCTGCCGTGTGCATTCAGTGGTCAAAGGTCGACATGGCACCTTTGGTCAGATCCTTCCGGGAACACAAAGGACATTTTGTATTTTTATGGCAAGGAAAAAACATATTAGACGTGTGCTGTACAGCAGACACATGTAACATGTGCTCACCGGTGGGGGTCAGCTGCAAGGTGGGGAGGCCAAGCTCTATTTCGAAAGGATTGTTGCTGTCCCAGTTGACGCTGAAGATCAGCAGGGATCTCTGCAGACGGACTAGTCATTGCCAATGTGTGCCTCTTGCTGCGATTGGCAAGATATCTGAAACAATACATATTTCTAGATGTTACAATAGATACACACATTCAATGTTATATTAGAGCACAGCTAAATAAAAACCAAATGGCGTTGCACCACGCAAGCAGTCAGTTTTTATTTATCACAATGAGCATGTAAGCGTGTATTACCAATGCCACAGTGTACTGTACGGAAACTTACTCCAAAAGAAAGATGTAACATTTTGTGAGATGAAAGCTAGTATGCAACCGTTTTTCAAATAAAACGAACAGCCTTTGGAAGGATATCTATGCCCATTATTTTGTGATCCTCTTTCCCAACATCACATCAAAAACAATACCCCAGCGCCACCAAGTGTTCAAGAACAGCATTGTCTCCATCCAGGGATTTATTATAGTTCTACAGAACAAGTCCCAGTTCTACATGTACCTGCAGGTCCCACCCAGGCTTTGCTTGAGACAGACTGTAAACAGGTAAGAGCTTGTATTATTGTTCACAAAGACAATGTAGATGTATTCGCTTATTTACATGCAAGAACATAAGAAGATTTGACTACATAAATAAATGTTTTCATTTGAGGCATTTATGTTGAGGGAGCCTTATTCTGTACACAGTTGGCTACAAAGAATAATGGTCAAAAGTGTGTGAAATGCACTCACCTCTGCACAGCCTCCTGATCAGGCTCCCCATCTGAACTCTCCTCATCTACTGGGGTAACAGCAGGTACAGCCTACGGTAGAAAAGTAATTGTCAAAGCATGGTTACCAAACAGAATTAACCAGAGCACACAAATGCCATATTATGTGAATGATAAGGTGTTTCTGCATAGTTTAGAAAAAAATAAGCGTTACACTAAGGTTGGACAAATGGATTTCATCAAAAGTTTCTATTTGGAATCAAATTTATATTGATTAAAAATGTATTTAAATAAAATGCTGCATTATGGGAAATGTCTGCTGTAAGACTGTGTGAATCAAGAAACTTTGTTATATTCATTTATGGAAAGAAAGTTTCAGGTTACAGGGCCACTTTAAACAAGGTGATAGTCACGCAAGAGCTACTATATTTTGATACTATCAGCATAAACTATCCAGTTTGTTAATTCTAAGAAAGATCAATATTTTCTACAGATAGAAAGAAGATTCTGTTACCAGGAAAACTGTAAATAAACCACCAATATCTATTTATCTCTCAATCACCGACAATATATTATTCTATGTTTTATATCTTTTTTTTGTATTAGATTTACTCAGCTATTATAGTGTTGTGAGGAGTTTTTGTTGTCTATTGAGCATTATTATATCAATAGTCATCCAAAGACACCCCCATAGATAGAGTAAGTGTGCATTTAGTAAGACACTAACCTCCAAACAGTAAAACAAGAAGGTAACTTGATTTTCCAAATGTGAGGGGATCTCGGAGATTAACCCCATATGTGGAAATTTGATGTCTGCTAAACTAACAAGGCTAAAGAATGTCCAACAACACTAATTTAGGATTTCATCGTTTCCTCTAGAAACCATTTGGAGATTCGAATTTGCCCGTTTTAGCTAGTGACTCAACTAGAATTGAAGAAATCCCAAGGAAATAAAGAACTGAAGAAACTAAACTCCCAAGTAACCAAGATATTCCTGCTAATACCTGGGGCTTGGTGATGTCAGGGCTAATAAAGCGGCCAGCAGAGTCTGTCCATACACATTTTATTATCCCCTGGGTTGTAAGCAATTACAAAAACCAGCGGTCCATGGGAACCCTCATCTAGAGGACATCATGCTCGGTGATATCCCTGACGGACCATGTATTATCAATTAGCATGGGAGCAGCATCCGTTGTGTGTTCCCCATATTCTCACATAGGTGATGTAGGTGTGGGGGTTAACAATTAATCACGTGTTGAGATGTGGATATACTTATGGGGATGGTGGATGGGCTTTCCTACGCTATCACACTCCTTTTGATAAACATTACATTCATTTTTGGTTGGGGCATTTATTGTGCCACCATTCATATTTACAATGTCAGTGAGTGCCCACTCACCACACATATGTTATGTCACTCCTCTGCACCCAGTACAAAGGAGTGCTTGTCATTATATATTAGGCTAGATATGAATATATAATGTACATTCCATCCCTGTTTCCCTAAATGCGCCTGCCTTCATTATTATTTACCTAAAGTGCAGTCAAACACTCAAGAGTCCTTGCTTTTCAGACCCTAAAAATTAAACGGCTAAAATCAACCAATCCTAGCCTTTATTTTATAACATATCTATATTCAACAAAAGATCAAGGAATACATACTCTTCGGTATTAAAGAAAAGGTAATTTTTTAATTGTGTGAGTACAAGCGTTAAAGGGACACTATAGTCATCAAAACAACTTTAGCTTAATGAAGCAGTTTTTGTGTACAGATCATGCCTCTGAAGTCTCACTGCTCAATTCACTGCCATTTAGTAGTTAAATCACTTTTGCTTATACAGCTCCAGCACTTCAACTGGCAGTGACTGACAAAGCCTGCATGAATAAAAAATGGTTTCACTTTCAATCAGATGTAAGATGTAACAGATGTAAGTTTTTGTTTCCTGCTCTGCAAATTCAACTTAAATTACATACAGCAGGCTCCTGCAGGGTAGAGCAAGCTATTAACAGCAGTAGATTTTCTAAATTAAACAGAAATTGCAATAAAGGAAGTACAAACATTAGATGACTCTTTACAGGAAGCATTTAGGAAGGGTGTGTAAGTCACATGCAGGGAGCTGTACCTATGGCTGCATAAACAAAGTTATTTAACTTCTAAATGACAGAATTGAGCAGTGAAACTGCAGGGTCATTATCTATCTTCAGCCGAATCGCTTTTCCCAATCTGCAAGGACTTTGCTTCCAAGGTCACATAACATTTACCTAAATAAAGGGCTTTCATACAAATATTTTGCATAAGTTATTTGCAATTTTTACCACACTACTGATCATATGTAACTTTTTCCTGGAATATTCTAAAAAAAAAAAAAAAACCTTAAGTGTCATACATGCCACATAAAGATGGTATAGTCTAAAATCATGAGAAGGGATACATTGGAAAACAAGACAGCATTGGCTTGGTGGTGAGCAGACACTCACAGTTGTCATAGTGACCAAGGGAGATGGTCCACGTGGCCTTTTCAAAAGCTGTTGAGCATGTAACTGTATGTTAGCGCCTCCATCTGATGCTCGGCGACCAAGTGGACCCATCCCATTCAAAAGCTGTAGCGTTGGTGGCTGAAGAAGAGACTGCTCCTGAGGAAAACATAAAATGAGTAAGACTGGTTAGAGCTAGGTATAAAAATTTAAATAAAATAAAAAAAGAAAACAACGCATTAAGTATATTTTAGCAGCTCTAGAGTCACAGTGATGACGTGGATCAACAGTTATGATCCCTGGGAAAGTTTGTATATAGTTTAGGGTAAGAGGAAGTAAAGAAAATGTTGACAGAATCATTGCAGGGATTGCAATAAAACTTATCCTACACAATAAATAGATAGGACTGTATAACACTGCAAAAGCTCGAATCCAAACTGAATAGCAAATATATGCCTACAGATATGAGAAATCGTGGGTTTTCCGATTCAGGTAACCCAATATAATATAATAAAATAAAAACTACAAGAAACCCCTGAGACTTAGATGTATGGCAGTTAAACGTATTGCAACTGTGTGGTTTTAACATTCTTACTCAGCGATTCTTTTCCATTCTGAAACGAACCTTCACTATGACAATTACATTTTTATTTAAAGTGAACTAGTCACCAGAAATGTACTGGAGTTACTTAAAGGCACACTATAGTGTCAGGAATTTCCGCCCCTGCGTCACCTCCTTGGCGGAGTTCAAACGTGACTAGCCCAGCCAAATGATTCTCTATGACTAACGTTCAGCACCTCCATGCACACCACGTAGCCACTAAAAGTGCTGCACATTGTGCATCAGTGACCAAGGAAGCAGGTCTTGTGACCGTCTGAGTGACGGCCACTAGAGGGGTCATTAGGCAGAAATGTTTCTACGAAAAGGCAGTGTTCACATTAAAAACCCTGTAAGGACAGGCTATACTAATTTTACTACATTTATTTGGCACATTGTATGAAAGCTCCTAGTCACTCACAGGTCTTTAAATTGTACGATGTGATTTAGTCAAAAAAAGTTACATACAGCAAATAAATCACGTTTCGACCCTACCGGGTTTTTGGTTTTTTTTAAAGAGCACTAGCAGGATTTATAGAAAAGTGTAATAAGATGATCCTTGTAAAGGACACAGTCTAAGGCAGGGCTGTCCAATGCTGGAACCTGCAAAATATGCAGAGAATTCACATTGGCAGCCCAGATATCTGTTCAAGGCAGACAATGTCTCGTGTGCTGGGGATGCCGTTAGATCTGCAAATGCAAGGCTTCTATACAGGAATATATTGTCAGTTAGTAAGAATGGAAGACAAAACCCACAGTGGGACAACTGCGTTAAACCTGTCTTTAAAAACATGGAAGGAAAGATGGTGGTCTGTTGGGAAGAGAAATACTAGCAGTTGGCAAAATATTATGCAAAATGGAGGCATGTAAATTGAGCTGGAACCAATGTAGAAAAAGAAAAGCACTACTAAAAACACAGGGCGAGAAGCACCAATTAACACATTCAGTGTTAAGGAAGACATTGTCTTGTAATAAGCATCCTTAATATCATTAGGCAAGTGGTGTATTCTTCAGAAAAAACACCAGCATGTCATAGCAAACATATGGAGCAGAGAAAAGAAAACAAGAGCCACTGGGTGGCAGCAAAGTCAAAATGCAATAGTTGCCATGAAGGTACCAGTGATAGGTCATTAAACGTGTCCAGTGATCATTATGTAAAAAGTAAAAAAACAATGAAAATATAAGTATAATGGTTTAGCACGACTAGATGAACCAAGGCAGTGAAAAAGAGTACAAATTTAAGGCCAAGAATGGCTGCATATGAAATACCAGGAGGTGTGTGTTGTTTTTATAACTAACCTTTCTCTTCTGCCTCCAGAGATGATAAATTATATAATCTAGTGGCCCTGCATTAAACAAACACTATAGGGTCAGGAACATAACCATTTATTATTGACCCTATAGTGTTAAAACTACCATCTAGCCCCCATGGCTCTCCTAAATATAGTAAAATCTTACTTTTGTTCAAGTCTGCAGCTGCTGGCTCTGCCCCTGATCTGCCTGCTTGGCTGAAATCATCAGAAGTTATTGTCTGAGCCAATCACAATGCTTTCCCATATGATTGGCTGAGACTGTCAATGAGGCAAATCAGGAGCAGAGCCAGCACAAGCCAAACGGCATCTCCTCATAAAGATGAATTGAATCAATTGTGCATATTGCACTACACTCAAGGATACTGACAGAATATACTGGATTAATGAAATTAGAGCCCAACACCTTACATTGATTGGAATTCCTGCAACTCTAAATTTTCTAGGGATGCACTGAAATTTCGGCCGAACACTATGAGACTGGGGAGGAGGGGGGAAAAAAACACTAAAAAAAAGAGGGAGAGGAGAGAAACACTAGAGAGGTGAGAGTTACATTAAGCAGGGGTTTTTCATATTAAATTAAATTCATTAAAAGGTCTAAAATTAATAAAAATATATAAGAAAAAAACAAACTTTTTTTAAATCATTTGAAAAAAAAAAAAATCATTTTCGGTTTCAGTTTTCGGCCAAGGGCATCCTGAATTTATGGTTTTGGCCCATAATTTTCATTTCGATGCATCCCTAAAATTTTCTAATGTTTATTCAACTATACGAGTTCGAAAAAATAAGCTAAATAGGTTTAAAACACAAATCTAATGGCAAATATCCTGCACTCCTATGTACTTATAAGCAATTTTGATTGATCCTTGACGAACACTGAATGCTAGTTTGTACCTTGTACTCGAGATGGCAGCCGGGTGGCATGTTTGGCATGGGAAGCAACGTGTGCATAACATTGGCATTCTGAGTCACTGGCAGGAATGGAGTCTGAGGAGTGATCCTTGGGAACCCAGGAATCATCTTCTGTAGCTCTTCAGCTCCCCCTTCAGTGCTGAAATAAAACATATGGTCAGTCATAGGATAATTATGACTAAATTAATCTAAGCTAGGCTATGTCAAATAATCATTCCTCGAATGCAGTAGAATAATAAAAACACAGGCCTCTCTCTAATAAGGATTTCAAAAGACTCAATGATTCAATACTAGATTAAAAGCTTTCCAAATGATTCAATATCGGAAGAAAAACCTTTCAGTTGATTATCTGTAGAAATCACCATTACTTTTATGGAACTTTTGTAAACAAATAATTTATAAAGTTTTCCTAGCCTTATTAAATCATTGCAAAATATTATTAAATCGGGCCTAAGTTAGGAAAACATGATTAAAATCAGAAAAACTGGGGAGAGGGGGCACCCTATCCCAAATATAAATGGGGGTTAGGGAAGGTGACCAGGTAACATGTTTGGGTTTGTTAATACATTTGAAAAATAGCCATCCTCGCTGTCCATGGGTAGTGGCAGTTTGAGTGCAGGGTTAATTCCTGTAGTTCTATTGATCTGCCAACCACCATATTTAGGGTTATTTAATGGAGTTCATTAAATACGCTCTTGTGGGTGTGTGTGTGTATGTATAATATATATATATATATATATATATATATATATATATATATATATATATATACACACACACACACACACACACACACACACACACACGCACACACACACGCACACACACACGCACACACACACACCAGATTTAGGTAATATATGGAATATTAAAATGTAATGCCAAGATGCATGGGAATAAAATTCAAACAAGATCGTAGACTGTATAGTTAAAAAGCATTCAAGGTGTAGAGATTAATTTAGCGGGTAATCTGCTCTTCTAGTGATTACTCTGTGACATGAATAAATAGTAAAATCAGCAACTTGTACAAAAATCTAACTACGCAATCTGACCTGCAGATTGCAACTTACTGGGTGTCTGGCACGCCCACAGTGTGCCTCCTCATGGAGAGATAGCGAGCCAAAGCTTCTGGAGAAGGCTCTTCTCCTTCATCGCTATCCAAGTTCATAGTGCCATTAGTCTGCATGGAAAGGGTTAAACATGGCAGGTTACTCATATGCACAAGACTAAATTTAGTGCAAAAGATGTAGATTCAAAATATGTAAACAAATGAATGCTAATTAAGGATGTACAGATCTTTGCATAAACACTTGCATTTCCAGACCAGACTAGAAAATGCCAAAACAGGCACAAAAATGTGTCAACTTTTCTATCATGGGGCACCATGGCAGAAACATCCCTGAAGGTTATCTTCCACTTCTATTAGCTCATTGAGAAGCTGTGAAAAGCCATGAACGCGTGTGTGCAGCTCCACCACAAAGGCTTAACAACGAGAAGCCTCTGAAAGGAGCATTACCCGGTGCTGACTGAAAGTATGTGCCGGGGCAAAAGTTGCCCTTTTTTCATATAACTCCCAATAAAAACATGCAAAACAAAATACATCTATTCTTTCCTTGGGGGTAAATCTACTAAAATCTTAAAAATAAAATAATGTCAATGGAGTGTTCCAAACGATAAAACGGTTACTGCATTATTTATCTATCTACATCTCCTTTGCTCACCTCAACAATCTGGTTCTCAGGGTTGATGAGTTGAACTTGAGGAACATTCATACTTACTGCACTACCAGTGTCTTCGACCTGCACAGGGATGAGACACATGCAGTCACTATACATGGGGTAAAGTATCCAGGGGAAGGGATGCTAACAAAAGCATGAACTGAACAACACAATGATTGATATTGTAGGGACAGAAGCAGAGTAATAATTGTTCTGTGTAGTTTAAGTAAGAAATACTTTGGGTATTTGACAGCATATTAGGATTTCCAGCACCACGTGGGAGAGGATGGAGATGGCCTTGAACCTTACCTGAACTGGGAAGGACACTGGGCGAGGTATACAAGGAGGGGTTGGGAGGCGAAGAGTCTTATGACGTTTCAGACGGTCACAAAGTAAACTGTAGATAGCGCTGTAGTGATCATAGGCGTCCGTTCTTAAAGACTATTGAGGAGCAAAAAGAGGCATGAGAGCAATAAAATTGAAGACAGAAGTTAAAGGGACTCTCCTAATAGGAAAAATTACATCTTAATGAAGTGGCTTCAGTGCATAGATGCTGTCCCCCTTTTCTATGGCAATGTAAATTATTGCCTTTTTCAGAAATTGAATTAAATGAGTCTTGAGAAGCATGGACTGTCATGCATTTACCATGTGTCCCAATGCTTCTCTAAGAGAAGGATCGGACTGGACCAGACTTTTTTTAATTTAAGGAACACATCTGAATTTAAAAATATTAAAAAAAATTTCAATGAGAGGGTTCCTTTGAAGGAAGTGGAGGAGGTGTAAAGGACCAGTTTTCACCTGCAGAGTACGTTCCTTGTCCAAACCCATTTCAGCCATGGTAAGCAGGACTTGCTCATTCAAAGGCTCCCTCTGTCTCTCGAGCTTGACATTCTGGCACTCTGCTATAAGCTGCAAAAAGGTGAAGAGAGAATAAGAAATGGTACTGAATAATGACAGAAATTAAATTACACTTTTGACCAAAAGTGAACTCAGAATTTAAGGGCATGTTAAAGGAATGGGAAACCAAAGCAGAATGTTTTGCAGGGTTTTGTTTAAAAAAAAATAAAAAAAAAAATTCACAGCAGATGCAAACTGAAATCCAAATGGCTTAACCCCTTAAGGACCAAACTTCTGGAATAAAAGGGAGTCATGACATGTCACGTGTCCTTAAGGGATTAAAGTGACACTGTAGGCACTCAGACCATTTCAGCTTATTTAAGTGATCTGTGTGCTGTGACCCTTTTGCACTTAGTGACCCTTTTGCAATGCAGCTCTAAGTCTGCCCCCCATGGCTGTCTGCTAGACAGCCACTGGCGGCGCTTCCGGAGTCCAAACAGACACTTGGTCCGTTATCGAACACTGGACGTCCTCAAGGACCTCCAGCATCAGATTTTCCCCATAGGAAAGCATTAATAATGCTTTCCTATGAGGTCTAATGCGCATTTGGCCATTGCCGCGTATGCACATTAGGATTCCCCCGCAGGCTGACGTCGACGGGGGAGGAGCGTGAGCGGAGCCTAACCAAGCACCGAGGGACATCAGCGCTGGATTCAGGTAAGTGCCTGAAGGGGTTTTAACCCCTTCAACCCCATGGGAGGGGGTGGGGACACCTACTAACCCTATAGTGCCAGGAAAATGGCTTTGTTTTCCTGGCACTATAGGATCCCTTTAAATAGAGGATATGGAAACATTCCTCATCTCAACTATAGTCAACTATTTTAGCTTAGGTTTTCGAATTTTGATTTCAGTTTGTTATTAAAGGACCACTATAGGCACCCAGACCACTTCAGCTCAATGAAGTGGTCTGGTTGCCAGGTCCATCTAGGATTAACCCTGACTGCTGTAAACATAGCAGTTTCAAGGAAACTGCTATGTTTCCATATGGGTTAATCCAGCCTCTAGTGACTGTCTCACTGACAGCCGCTAGAGGCGCTTCTCATTGTGATTTTCATAGTGAGAAGACGCTGACATCCATAGGAAAGCATTGAGAATGCTTTCCAATGGACTGGCTGAATGCTCGCGCGGCTCTTGCCGCGCATGCGCATTCAGCCGATGACGTCGGGGGGGGGGGAGGAAGAGTCCCCAGCGCCGAGGCAGCCCGGTGCTGGAGAAAGGTGAATGTTTAACCCCCTTCCTCCCCCTTCAGGGAGTGGGACCCTGAGGGTGGGGGCACTATAGTGCCAGGAAAAATAGTTTGTTTTCCTGGCACTATAGTGGTCCTTTAATCAAGGTTGATAAGAGTAGCCAATTTGATTTTTTATTTTAATAGTTGCCACTGCGGAGGGTACAACGGACTGTGAGAGTCAATATAAAATACTTTACAATATATTTAAGCATGGATTTTGCATGAAGAAACTCAAACATGGCATAATTTTTTTTTTACAAAATTAAAAAAAATAAAATAAATAAATAAATAAAAAAAACAAACAAAAAAAACAAACAGAACACGTCCATTGTTAATGTGTAAGTGGTAACCTGTTTATTTTGCCAAAAGGAAAATGGAGGTCATATCACAGTACAAGCACATGCAAATATATTTTTATTTAATAAAACGGTTACTTCCCAAGGTGAGATATGCCAGGAAGTCAAAGTGAATTTCAAAATTTAGGCCAAAATATTCAAATTGGAAACATTTTCCAAGTTCGTTCTGTTTCTATGGCAACTAGTTTGTCCATAAATTTGAAATTCACAGCAATTCTCACTTTAGTGAATTACCATTAAAAGAATTACAGATAAGTGTATGTAAATGTGTGTCAGACTCACTCTTTCAAACTCGAGGTCCTGCTCGCCATGGCACATCCACTTGTGTTTGCAGATCTGCTCCATGGAGAGACGCTTACTGGGCTCCAAAACCAGCATGTGTCGGATCAGGTGCTCACATTCTGAGGGACACAGGTCAAAAAACGGTTAAACAAGCCTGGAAGATATTTAATGACTCCAATACAAATATACCCACAATAGTAGTTTTACCAACAATGTCACATCAATTTAAACCAATGTAGATCAAATTTATGCCACCGTGTCCCACAAGCCCCATCGTTATTCCACGTGCACGCAGAAGATCTAAATTGCAATATACTTGTTCTAAGCTTAATAAGGATACAAAACAATAACACAAATGGATCAATCCCCAGAAGCTTTGTCTTCGAATACCTTTTGACTGCAGTCTATACGAATAAAGTTTATATCATTATGAAAAACTCAAAAGTGGCAGTGGTGCTTTAAGCGAGTGTGTTGCTTATTAATGAAAATGTTTGGCTCAGGAATGTCTGGTGAAATGGCCTGCACTAAAAAGCATATTGTGCAAGAAAGGAGGCTAATTGGAAAAACAAAACTGATTCAAACACACAGTGTGTACATCGGTAGGAGGTACAACTGTTTAACAACACTTTGTTCTCATGTCACTGTGCAAAAGATAGGAATCACAGATGTATTCACTGACCACTGACTTATGGAAAATTGAAAGGCAATTGCAATTTTTAATAGCTCCCATTAGAAGGAAAAAAAAAAAAAATCCCAAACTCAGTTATTCTTTGGTTTCAATTATTTTGTTCAAACAAAACAAATGTGGTTTATTAAATACATAAGATAAGGATCACTTGATATCTGCATTATTTATAGAGCACAGATAAGAATGGCAAGTAATGTAAATATACCAAAACGAAGTAAGACGGTGATTATTCAGACATGTACAATGTTTCAGGGGGTATTAGTTCATCCTATTCAGGTTATGGCTTATAAATTTCACACTATTTTATTCTTAACTGCTCTATTGTATATTAATACAGTATGCACACAGACGTGTGTAATAATATCTGCATTGCCTTTTCACAAGATAGAAAAAATAACTGAAATAAGTGGACACTAATTATGCCTTAATTAATTTAATATGTTTGGATAAGCTTTTCAAATGATTTAATACTTTTTGGATACAAGTTTAAAATAAAATGTAACATATCAAAAAATATATCACATAAAAAGTTTAAAAAAAATAAACCACAATATCACGATCAAAAAAAAAAATATACCAAAAATATTTTTCAAAAATGTTAAATCATTTTAGATGTTTATCCAAAACTATTAAAATCAAGGCCTTTATTCTGATGCAGTAAAAGCAGGCAGATTAAGCCAGTTACCTGTGGACATGAAGAAAGGGATACGAAATTTCCCACTTAAGACCCGCGCACGGAGATTCTGTAAGGTGCTCCCGTCAAAAGGAAGTGCTCCGCAGACCAGCACATACAGGACAACTCCCAAACTCTGCCCAGAGAATAAGAAAAAAACCCAAGAGTACGAAGGATGATGTTGATTTAGAAGTATCAAACAATTGGGAGTCACACTCTACTCCAAGAACATGTCTATTGCGTTACCAGCTTAGACCGCCTCACTGTCATACACCGTCTCATACACAGCTCACAAAATGCCATAACAAACATAAATATGAACAAACACTACTCAATGTTGACATACGGTAGGAAAAAAAACAAGATCCATTACATTCTTGCCCTTATGAATTTTCAAAACGTATTACCTAATACAATTAAGCACTTCTGTACCCGAATATACACATTTTCCACTCACCCAGATATCAACCTTGGGTCCGTCATACTCTTTCCCTTCAAAAAGCTCCGGGGCAGCATAGGGAGGACTCCCACACCAGGTCTTCAAAAGCTGTCCAGGGGTAAACCGGTTGCTGAATCCAAAGTCTGCGCAAAGGATGGTAAATGTGAATGTAGTGCACCACTGCATGAAAAGTTTTTCCAGTACTACTGATGTGATTCACAAAACTCTACACACACTTAAAAATAAGAAAATTATGATGTTTGGTAAAATATACAGAGCGTACGTCCTGTAATATTGGAAAATTAAGAATTTAGGACTAATTCAAGTACTCAAGATTAAATTACTCAACACATCTTTGTAAAATTTGTTTAAGGCATTGGTAAAAAAAATTAATGGCCTAAAATTAATTTGGCCATATAAAAGATGATAAAATCCATGCAGTTTTAATAAGAAATGTGCAGTTTATTCAGCATCTAACAGATGTTATGGTTGTACAATGTGGGTGCATATTATTCTAGCTGTCAATTAATAACCACGGCCTTCTCACTAAATAGAATATGCTTTAGCAAAATCAGCCAATTTCATTCAGAGGAATCCTGAGTTTAACACTAGCGACCAAACGGAATCTACACTGATATACTACTGTACTTTAAAATGGATCTAATGGAAGTAGGGAAATTCACTTGAACATGGATCTAGATGAACAGCAACCAAATGTACCCGCGTCATAAAAAAACATCAAAACAAATCAAGGTCAAGATCTACTTAAGGAGTACAGTTATAGGTGAATTCACTGCTATCTGTGCAAGCTATCTGCTCTGTGTAAGTGGAATTGTATCAAACAAATTAAGAAGACTAAAATTGGTTGTTTGGAAATAGCAGATTAAGCCAATGTACAGAGAATTTTGGACAATTACAACAGGAAACCAAATGGTAGTTGTGTAGCAGTGCAAACATGTCTGAAACAACTAAATCTGCGGTTTGTGAATAGCCAAATGTGGTTCACAAAGCAACATTTCAAATGAAACCATCAAATTAAAGCAACCAATCACTCAGAAGCTGTTCAGCACCTAGTGAATGGTCCTCTAGGTGTTCTGTAAAAACCTTTTTTTAGACTATTTGGAACGCGGTATTTGAATCATGTATGTTCGGGGTAGCTCTGCATGCTGATGAGGTATATGTGAAATATCTCAATGTAGCAGATGGTTTGTACTAGCAACTTGCCAGTTTTCTACTGATGTAAATTCATAATTACTATTTTTGATCTAATTGCCTCTCATATTCACAACACAGGCTTAACATAACAGCACAGTAAAATCAATCAGGGTGAGAACATAAATAATACATTCACTCCGTAAATGTACTGGACAGAAATGGTTTTCACACGTGAATATAAAACAATAGAGTAGGTCTGTCAGCTCTGCTCACATGGTTACAAGGAACGCATGCAATGGAAACGAGATATAGGAGGAATGAATGGAGTGGAGACAGAGGGGCAGGAAAAACACTCAAGGTTTTTTAGAATCTTTGAAATAAAAAATACAAAAACAAGCAGCGGATCAAAGCAGCTCTGAGAGTAAGTGCAGCCTACTCATCAGATGACGGATTTCAGGAGCTGCCAAGGCAAACAACAGATGGGAGGTTCTAGAGCACTTAGAAACCAGCTCCCACCCCACAGGAGTCCCACGAATAGCCAGCTCACATTAATTACTTGCACCCCAAAAGTTTTCTGTATTTGACTACTTTAAATCTTTATATCACCGCCATATCTAGTCTGAAAAATGCATATTGAATTAAATGCCAACTTGTTTCAGGGTTACTTTTATCCTCTGTCCCAAAACCCATTTAAAGGAAAAGTCTGCCTGAACAAATATGCCTTTCTTTAAAAGAGCTGTAATATTGTACTTCATTCCCCACTTAGGGTTAGCAATAATCCATCAGCAACACTGCCTAGGTCCAGATCAAATTAATAACTGGAAACAGGCGTTGCGAGGCCATGAGCTCGGCTATTCCTGTAAGTCACATACAGTTTAGCTATTATGATTGAAAGCAAACAGATCTGTTAGGTTAAAAGGCTGAAACCCAGGCTTCCACCTATGCTGCTTGTGCCTCTTCCTGTCGGGATGTCCTTATTCCCAAGTTCCTAGGCACAAGACAGACTGGAGCCAAACTATACCGATCAATGTTAGACTACACAAAAAAGGTGGTTGCTAAACAAGATGGTTGAAATGATTGCTTCTGCTTTTCTCAAAGTGATTTCTGTACAGACTGTTCAGAATTCTATACAGAGTTATTCACTTAAGAGTTTTCAAAAGGTATTTCAAAATTTAAGCCTAAAAAGCCAAACTAAAAACCAGCTGGCTTTTTTGGCCTAGAATTTAAAATTTTATAATAGGAAAATTCTCGTTTTAAATTTCTGACAAATCACAGTTTAGTGGATAATGTATACAGCTGAACCTGATAACAATGTACCCAGGCTGCTAAGACATTATTATGTAGGAGATGCTTACAGACACTGTTATGCAATTACACAGAAAGCTAACAGACAGGTGTGTTGTGCTAGCGTGTGCCTGCCTTCCTCCTTTCTCGATGAGTTGTACTGCAGCCTATTGAGAAGCATTAGAAAGCCACAATAGAGTGTGATCAATGAAAAACCTGTATTTGGAAAAGACAGAAGGGCTTGCAAAAGCTCCAGACATTAGGTCTGCAGCTTTTACAAGTGAGGTTTTATTTTAACCCCAAAGAAATAAAGCATAAAAACAAAAAAAACACATGCATATTTTCTTTGGGGTTAAATCCACTACACTGTTAAAAATACTTTACCTGTCAGTTGTTGTATAGTAAACAAGGTGGGAAAAACCCTCAAACCTTTATGGCCATGATCCCAGTTAAGAGAGGGAAGAAAAAGAAAAAAAAAAAAGAAAAACTTTTGTAATATATTTACAAATGTAATACATTAATAATAATGACCCCGAGAAGTCATAGTTAAGATTGGCCACCTTATTATATTTTAGCTGGGGCTGTCCTCATGCAGTTGTAATTGACATTCAGTGTCTGCTTGGACACTCACACTTGCGGTGGTAAACATTGAGAAAGATGCTCTTTGACACTCCAAGATATCTCAATAATAGTTCCTCAAAGCTTAGCATCAAATCCCCATAAAGCCCACCAAACATTCACCAAGGAGGAACCTGGTGTTGGTGACAAGTAAGCGCACAATGATCAAGAAGATATTCCCAACCGCCAGTAATTTAACACAAATGGTGCCAAATGTGGCAAGTCTTGGGCGGCTCCAGTTTATTATGAATGGCACCTGAAATACTGGGTTCCCAACAGCTCGCTGTGAAACAGCAGCATGAATCAGGGGATTCTTCAGCACAAGATGCTGTCATCTTGTTGTCATTGGTCCATTGCAAAATAAATCAAACTGTAATAGAGATTGTGAGGGTGTGATTTAATAAGTCACCTCTATCACAGCGGTTTCACACTGCGAAGGATCAGCACCAATCAATTACTCACTCTGCATTCGAGGCATCACTACACCACCACGCCTAATGTATTGGAGAATACATCCAATTAAATATCATATGGGTGTGCATGAAACAGAGAGATATTGGTATGGGGGTAGGAGCGATGAGATATGATACACAAGACCACCTCTGGCACTCAAAAGGTTAATGGAAATTTGGCGTGGCAGGTTGAGATTACACTTGAATGGCCATTAAACTTACCGGTTATATAAAGGTGCATAATGAATTGGGATAGTGCGCAAATAACTTTCTTAGATTTTTGGAGCTGATATGTCATTGCTGCCGCCCAGGAATAGTGGGAATTTTAGCACAGATCTTAATTTTGTATATTTTTATTTGCTTTTGTATTACACACCGATGTTACAGTGCTGCAGCACACCCCAAGTTAATGTGTGTGTAGAGATTTAGAAAAATACCACGGCCTCAGATTTTACCTTTAAGCTGAAATAAGCAAGGTGAATGGTTAGTGTAGGACCCACCTTAGAGGTTTTGCCTTGACATGGCAAGTGAGCTTACACTTTAATAGCCATTGGAATGATACTTAAAAAAAAAAAGTTATGTAAATGTGCGCAGACATTGGGGATGGTGCGAAAGTAACTTTTTTCTTTTGTGATTATTGTACATGTTGGGGCTGATGTGTAGTATAGTCATTGCTGCAGCCCAGCAGTAGTGAGAGTTTGAGTGCAGGGTTTAATTTTGCCTGGCTCCCAAACGCAGGGTAAATTCGTCAAGGCCTGGCTTCCAGACAGCAGATAAGGAATCAACAGACACTTTCTGTGATATCACACCATGTCCTTCCTAGCCAAAGAAAACCGCTATTTTTCCATGAGCTGTTTAGGTTTTCCCTTTAAGCCTTTCACAGTCTGTTTTCTCACAAATTATACATGATTTTTCCGTTTGCCTAACATATAACATACACTTGTATCAAAGGAGAAACAAAAACATTTATAGAATAGACCTTCTCTCATCCTTCGATTTTTAGCTAACCTTTTGCCAACTAACCCGTCCTAATATACCAAGTAAACAAGACCCTTTTGCTGACTAACTATGCACTGAAAGAGATGATCGTAAACCTGCGGGCAGGAAGGGCCAGCATTTTTTGTTTTTACAGAACGCAGATATTGGTAAACAGAAGATTCTGGATTTACAAAAAAAAAAATTACAAACAAAAAAAAAATATGTGCATTTTACAGGTGTTATTTCTGATTTATAGATCCTTTCAAAAACCTGGCACCAGATCAGGACTAATATAATTTGAATAAGGAAAAAAAAAAAAAAACAGGTACACACGGAGCCTTAACAATTAGCAGGTTTGCCTTATGTCTACTTGGATTTTATATTTATCTCAATGTATGGATCCTTTTTACCACAAAAATGAAATCATCAAATAGTTTCATTGTAGTTTATGTCCGATTTGTCTGTCTCTCATGTAACTGGTCTGCATCTGATTCTCAATATGTAGAAAATAAAAGAGGCTGAGAAGGGTGGAAAGTTATTTCTGCAACATAAGTTTCGAAAGAACCAGGTAAATGTAAGAAGATGCCAGGCAATGACTATCCACACAACAATTAATATAATTTCAGGGTTAACTGTTCACAAACTGACTTTTTTTTTAATTTTTTTTTTTTATTTTTTAAACAATCCACCCACCACCTCTAACTAAGCCCAAAACAAGGTGTTCTAAAAGAGCATTTGTTATTGGTAATGATCTGCCCAGCCATAAACCACTTTATAAATGCTGCCACAGTCATTATTTCCACTATACCTGATGAGAAAGCAGAATGAAACTTAAATCTAAACAGCCAGTAGATAAATATTATCATTGCGTACAGAGCATTTTAAATTTATAAAAGTCCATTACAGACACTGATGAAATTGGGTGCCGTAAGCACAGCTTACAAATGGTGGCGTTCGGGTCAGTAGTTATGTGGCCTATTCTATAACGAGCGCCTTACCTGCAATCTTGATGTTGAGGTTTGCATCCAGCAACAGGTTTTCAGCCTTTAGATCTCGATGTACAATGTTTCTACAGTGACAGAAATGAACGGCAGCCACAATCTGTTTAAACTTCTTACGTGCTTCCTTCTCAGCCATACGTCCATGTGCAACCAGGTGATCTGCCATGGAGAGAAGGGATGTGAGAAAGGATTAAAAATAAATAAATAAAAAAAAGTAGGTGACTCATGGAAAATATAGGAACAGGCAGACATGCCACACAGGAAAAGAAACAAAGCAGCAGAGATAATTACGTTTTGAAAACGAGAAAAAGCAAACAATATATTTTACTATATGACTGACGATCGAGAAGCAATATGGGCCCCATGTACATAAATAAGATAACGCAACGAAAATATTCAGTAATAGGTGTAGCAGATACCCTTCTAAGCACAGGGTCCCAATCTGGATTACCCTTTTAGCTTAATGACAGCCAAAGCAAATACAGTGCAACAAAAACAGAGACTATGAGAACGAGCAAAATATGCTTTAAAATGTCTTAGAATTATTTAGCTGTTACAAACGTCTTGGCAATAACACGTTCTCTACGCTCACCCCTTAACACAAAAGTGTCCCTCTGGATATTCAAAATGTTGAGAGGTATAGGACATTGCACTTTCATTAGAAGGGCTTTGCAATTTCATCTGATTGCTTCATTATAAGTTATACTATTTGGGTAATGCAACACATTTTTCAGATAAGTGAGTGTGGAAGTTACATGCAGATCCAACATTTCCACATGGAAATCTGAGTTCTCCATTAACCATGAACCAATATAAAATAAATAAGATTAGAAAATAGAATACATTATAAAGAACAAGCAATTGTTACTTCACGATACATTTTGAAAAGGTGATAAACAAGGGGAACCAGATATCATGTTTAATTCCTGACATGAATGAAATCTATTCTTATACAAGTTCAGGCATTTTAATTCTCTACAAAAAGCAGTGAAGTACCAGCGCTAATATATTGGATAAAAACATTTTTGTCAATACCACAATGTGTAAAATAGATGTTAGTCAAGCAGCTCCATCACCAAATTCTTATCTTATAATGTGGAAATGTGGAATAGATGTACCGGTGAAGCGCTATATTAAAATACCGTAAAATACTGTAATACACAGTATTTTAATATAGCGCTTCACTGTTACATTGATTCCACATTATAATTCTCTATTGATTAGGGTAAAGGACCTTTTCAGAGAACCCTTCCAAAAAAAAAGACTGAATCAGTAGTGGACCTGTATATAAAGTTTAGAGCTATAGAGCTAGAAAGCCCTTACACATCTAAATCACACCTAACGGGTATCAGGTGAATAAACCTATCCAGTCAAGAAAATAGAAAATACAGTTTACATTTGGCTAACATACATAGAGTAAGGAGAAAGTGCTCAAATCTATCAACCTCACAAAAAATTCCAAAACACGTACACACGCACAACCTGGGGAAGAGCTTATAAAGGACGTAAAAGGTGAAAATAGAGCATTCCCACGGGCTGAAGATCAGGTGCTGTGTCTAGAAAATGAGCTTGTTACTAATCCCAAGACTCATTAGTCACGCACTACATGCTTAAAAGGTGCGTACAAGGAAGCAGAACATACATAAATTTCACTCAAGGACCCCAAATATAGAATGAATCCTAATTCCCCTAACAAGTAACACCACTGTATAATGTTTTACAGGAAGACTGTCCTGGAAACACGATGCACTACATCAATTGGAAACACATTGTAGACCCAGTACATCCCGAATGATGCTCGGTAAAAGACGCGGCATGGAAAAGCATTACTTAGGGTTTCAGAGGACAGACAGAAGACAGAGGAACGAGTGCTATTTGTCCAGGGGAGAAAAGGCGTTGATGGCTAACCTTGCTAATATTTCCTGTGATGCTCAGCAAAGCCTAAAAGGGAAATGTCATTCAAAAGAGTGGAAGGTTAAAGGGACACTATAGTCACCTGAACAACTTTAGCTTAATGAAGCAGTTTTGGTGTATAGGACATGCCCCTGTAGCCTCACTGCTCAATCCTCTGCCATTTAGGAGTTAAATCCCTTTGTTTGAAACCCTAGTCACACCTCCCTGCATGTGACTTGCACAGCCTTCCATAAACACTTCCTGTAAAGAGAGCCCTATTTAGGCTTTCTTTATTGCAAGTTCTGTTTAATTAAGATTTTCTTATCCCCTGCTATGTTAATAGCGTGCTAGACCCTGCAAGAGCCTCCTGTATGTGATTAAAGTTCAATTTAGAGATTGAGATACAATTAAAGGACCACTCTAGGCACCCAGACCACTTCAGCTTAATGAAGTGATCTGGGTGCCAGGTCCCTCTAGGATTAACCCCTTTTTTTAATAAACATAGCAGTTTCAGAGAATATATATAGGGTTATAATAGGGTTATAATAGGGTTAATCCAGCCTCCAAAGCCTCTAGTGGCTGTCTCACCGAAGGCTTTCGCGGCCTGGTGGGACCCAGACTGGTTAACGCCCGATCCCCTGCTGGTACTGCCTTAAGAGCTGGGCAAGACCACCCACAAATCTCAGGTGCACACACCCCATGAGTCACAGGACATCGGCACAATGCTCCAACGCGTGCCCAAGCACAGGGTGCTGGAGCAGGCAGAGACTGAGGCCTACGACCCTCAAGAGACAGGTGGAGTGAGTGGGGTGAGTGAGGATGCCAGGGACAGAGCCACCCACAGACAGGCACCCAACCACAAACGCCCCAGCCAACAGAGACCTTGCAACAAAACAGGACATAGACAACCTCTTTGTCAAAATACAGCAGCTCTTTGCAGCCGACATAGCCGCGGTGCTAACAGAGGTACAAGCGGTCACCACTCGCGTTCAGACTACAGAAACTGTTATATCCGACCTGCAACGCAACCTTATGGCACTGGGAGGCACGGTCAAGCAGCTACAAGCACACCCCTCTGCCCTCACATAGAGAGTGGATACCCTGGATGAAAGATCTTAAAAGATCTTGCCAGAAAAATCTAAAGATTAGAGGCGTCTCAGACCACCACATTTTTTTTTTTTTTTTTTAGGCGAATGGTGACTTAATTACTCCCAGCAAAACAGGCCAAGCAATTCACCAACGACTGAGCTTACCCCTTTGCCAAGTTTCCCAAAGCACCACCCACAGCCCCAAGGGACATAATATTACGATGCAGGACGAGACAAGATAAATAGGCATTGATAAGGGCTGTTCAGAATAAGTCACCTGTGGACTTTTTTTTTTTATAATTCTTTATTTTTGTTGCGCATTTGTTTAACATAGTCGCTTGAGATGCCACAACAGCTGTCTCAGGCTTCAAACAGAAAACATGAATAAACATTTGGCATTGAAATACTTTGCACAATTTTAAATTAGGAAAGTAAGTTCCCACGTTACATCCTTCTAATTAGAATTATCGCTAGATCGCCATAGTCTCCTGTTTGGAGGAAGAAGTTGTATGGATATAGTGTAATCTGTACATCCAGTATGTGTGTAGGGTTCTGAGTAGCTATTCCTCATCCCATGTTAGTGATTTGAAATATGTACTATGGCGATAAATAATTTTGCCCCACTCCTTGTTAGTGTGGCTCAGTTTGGGGGTCCCAGGTTCTGGCTCGCTTGGTGTGGGTGTACTTAATGTCAACCCTGGGTCTTCCCATGTGTTTAAGTGGTATTCGTGCGGTATCAAGTGGTTAGTGGCCCCTAACCAGGGAGGCCGCGGGGGGGCGGAATATACCAGCGGCCTATAGTTGGCCCTAACCTAAGAGTGTTTTGCCATGTAGTGTGCTACTCGTCGTGGCTATAGCGGTGTGCCGTATTTTGCCATTACGTGGATTATATAATCCTAGGAAACATATTGTGCCTTACAGTGGTGCCTAGGTGCCAAGCCTTAAACAATTGAGAAAAATCAAGTCGAAAACCAGTGAAAGTCAAATTATAGCGAAACAATAATTATAGCGGTAGAGGCTTCGTAGTTGAAGTGCGTTTATGGGTTGAGAGACAGTCAGTGGTGTCAGGTGGTTGCCTCAGGGGCTCCTCTTCCCCTCGGTAGAAAAGGGACAGTCCTGTTGGGGTCCCACATATGGGAGCTGGCGGGTACTTCTGTGTGGTCAGATCCTTGTGGTAGTCCCAGTGCCCTAATGAAAGAGTCCACCTCCTGAGTGGAGTTGAGGTGTAGAGTGGTGCCGTTGTGGTCCACCGATAGTGTTTTTGGTGCAGTCCAGCGGTATACTAACTTGGCGTCTTGGAGGCGGCGGGTCATAGGGCGCAGGGTTCTTCTCCATTGGAGTGTGGATCGTGTCAGGTCCTGATAGAAGGTAAGACTCGCGGTTTCAAAGTCCAATGGTGTTTTGCCTTTTAGGGCAGCGAAGATGGCATTTCTGTCTGTTTGGGTATGGCACCGTACGATCACATCTTTGGTTGCTTGGGGGGGTGCCTGTGGCGATTTCCGGATGCGAAATAGCCCTGCTATATTTAATTTTTTGGCCTGTGCGTGTGGCATTATGGTGGCGGCCAGACGTCTAAAGTAGTGTGGTAGTTCCGCCTGACTTATTTCTTCAGGGATACCCCTGATTTTCACATTGCTCTTACGGCTTCTCTCTTCTGCTGCATCCAACTTGTTGAGCAGGGTTGTGTGTGATGCTTTTAGTTGGTGCACTGTTTCTTTTAGGCTTCTCATTTCGTTTTGAACATCTATGATGTCTTCTTCAGTGGTCTTCACTCGGTCTGTGACCGCCTGCACCTCCGTTTTCATTAAAGCCATGTCTGCTGCGGACATTTGTTTCAGCTCGAGGAGGTTTTTAATGTCTAATTTTGTGGCAGGTGTCAGTGCATCAGGGTCAGTTTGGGCTGAGTGATGTTCTAGGGTGTCCCCCAGGGCAAGCTCCGAGCACGTGGAGCCTGTGTCTGGGTCGGGTGTGGCCGCCATTTTCGGTGCCGCTGTGCGCTGGAGCATGGTGCTAATGTCTTGGGTATCTTTGCACGCACCTGTAGCTATCCGCTGGGATTTTCGTCCCATGTTTATCGGGTCGGTGTCTGTGTGCTCCGTGGGTGGTATGGCAGTGGAGAAGACCGCGTTGTGGAGCGCCGTCTCAAAGGCCCTGTAGTCTGGATAGGCCTTGGATGTGCGGCGTACTTTCCGTCCCGTCTGGCGGTATAAAAAGGGCATCGATCAGGTGAGTGCTTTGCCCCTCTGTCCTGGCCGTCGGTTGATAGGATTATAAGGGCTGTGAGAGGTTTGTTTGTCGGTAATTAGCCGCGTTTTTGCCGGAGCTCGCTACACATGCGACCGCTCCGTTCCGTGGTTAAGCTCCGCCCCCCACCTGTGGACTTTGAATCCCACAAGATACCTTGCAAGACCTACACCGCTCCACTCTGCTATGGAGAAAGACTATGAAACCCATCACACTACAACTTAAGCAGGAATACCATATAGATGGACTACTATCTAGAGCTCTGATGGTCAACTAAGAAAGCAAGCAAATCAAGGCCAACGATGTGGCAGAGGCCACCATCTTTCTGGTAGCGATAGGAATAGAAGACGGGCCACAAGTGCGGAGGGCCCAAGCCAATAAGACCCCCCTTCATCCCAAGAAACGGACTAGAATCCGTAACATAGGGAACCAGGGGACCACTGCTGATATTTCTGTCTATTGCTACCCCTCAATCTTTCCTCTCTTAAACTCCCACCCTATACTAATTGCATTCTTAACCAGTTCGAACTCCCAGAGAAGGTCTGTGCTTAAAATATCAAACCATAAGTGAAGGCCTAACCAGAGCCTACTGACAGCTAGTCATTTATAACCCCCCTCCTTCCCCTGACATCCCTAATTGTTAGGGAAAACGCATGACCTCCACAAACCAGGGTGCACCCAAACGTCCAGACATAGTACACTGTCCTCAGACCCAAAGGTTGACATACATTGTACCGGTACATTCATTAATGTTATTCTTTGTTAGCGCAATGGTTTTAGTATGTTTTAGTGACTATATGGTCAAGTTACACCCCATGACAACCCAAAGGGCCACAAGTACCCAACAGCAAGTCACACTGATGAGCCCTGCATACCTGACGACAAGCTGATATAGAAATCTGTTGTGTGAGGCATTGTTCTTATTGTATGCAACCAAGTCTAATGTAACAAAAATACAGGTGATCATATGGAGTCTACAAAGCTAAAAGAATGTATCCACTGAAAACTAAACATTTTAACAAATATGTCATACTGCCTCACCTGCAAAAATAAAAATCCTTTTTTAAATTACTTAATATGATCAAAATAACTATGTAATTTATCTGTCACTTTTCAGAACACTAATAAATACCCTCCTTACTGTTCACATTATCACAGAGTGACAGGTTTTTCCACCTCATATTCATGCTGTATTATTCTCAACAAAGTTTTGCTAGAAAGAAAATAAATACATTGAAGTTTCTCTGCAGCATAACCTTCTAGTCAGCCACACCTCCACTTTCCCACAAAATGGCTTTCCTATAAGGATGTGTACGTAATGCAGGTCAGACACAGTGTGAGTTGATTTACTAACATGACCACTCCATAGCCGATCACGGACGTTCAACAAGCAATAGACGTGCGGTTGCCTAGGGAGGTCTTGGAAGCGAAACCAGCAACAATGAATTTTCGTTTACATTAAAAAAAAATAATTTTTAAATGAAACATTCATTCACACCATGTTTTATAATTCTCTCTCTCTCCTCTTAGAGAGAGAAAGAAGAGGAAATCGTTGTCAGCAGCTCTGTCCCTGGCATCAAGTGTGGAAGTGAGCTGTCCCTCCCCTAAATGGCAGCAAAGCATTCCTGAGCATTGCATTCTGGCTTAGTGCCAGGAGTAAATAATGTCATGCCATTTCATCTCAGTGCTAACCTGTTGTAAAAGAGTGCAACTCTGTAGCTGTTCCTGCTACTCCATCATGCAGAGACAGCTTAACCTCATTGGGCGTCTGGCACATAGATACTGACCACTGATAACAGTTAGCAGCCAGGAAAGGTTAAACAGTCCTAATAGAGACATTTACCCTGGATTCTTTTCAAGCCCTTATATAATAACAGTGCAAACATTAACACTGCAGGCTCAATGTAAACGGAATATTTACAGTTGCCACAACTTTAAAAAAAATAGCGTAATAAAGCACTCTCAGGTACTGTGTCTATATAGAACTTTAGGATTTAGGACCCATTCATAAATATTATTTTAGAAACATTTAGCATTAATAAATAATGAAAAACTGTAAACAAATATAAAAATATCTGGCACAGCCATACTGGACCAGTTCTAACCTATTGCTGCTCCCCTTCTCCCACCCCCTTCCCAGCCTCACTGCTCACTAAAGGCAAGATTCCTCACTGTATTTTGGGAAGGAATGCCTGCTGTTTGACCGAAGACTATGGTCCTATTTATAGGGGTGGTTGCTGGAAGAATGCACAAAAACCAAAGTGTTTCTCTACAAAATGAATATTCTGATAGCTGGAAGGGAAGGGTTTTTCAAAAGAGCGAAAGAGGTTGTGTTAGCAGAACTTAGAACAGAATGTTCAGCCAAAGAGAGGGGCTCAATGGAATCCCCTAGCACCTTCAGAAATTAGGACATATGAGCAATGTCTACTTAATCCTTCCATTTTTAATCCCTTTTAGCGGCATGGATTAATACTGCAGCAGAAATCCTATTACTGCTGTATAATACACGACAAGGTGATCTGGATATCATAAGAAGGTAGTAGTACAAGCTGTATAAATCCATTCTCCCTCTACCTATCTTCCCATGCAGTGAGGGGCCCTTTGGTTGCTAAGGGGGTTAAGTGATGTTATGACTCCCACACGCATTATACATCCGGTTTACAGAGTCAGGCTGCTGCAAGGAGGACAGGCTCATCTGATTAGCAGTCACGAGACTCGTTTAACTATTCCTCTGCCACACTGTTAAGTAACACCTTGTTTTTTTACAACATCTATAGAGTAACTCTTAAATCCAGACCTGGAGGAGTATATACATGATAGGAGGTGAGGAGGAGAAATAAAGAGCAGTAGCGGATACCCCACCTTTTCTGTTGAGGACTTCTCTGGCACATCAAATGTTTAGACTGTATACTCTATAATCAGTCGTGTCTGGACCAACATAAAAAGCCTCTGCTAACTACACTTCAAAGACAGATACTGCAGCAGAACCGAAGTTTAACTACAAAACGGACAGGGAATACGAGAAAAGGGATCATATGCTTTATTGTGAAGCTGTACAAGTTTAGAGGGAGAAAAGGGGGAGACAGGGGAAAGTACACTAGTTATGAAGACACCAGAAACTGGTCCTGATTGTAAGAGAGAAACAAAATACAAGAGGAGGAATCTGTCTCAATGGATATTTTTATGGCTACGTTTTTATTTTGTAACTCACAAAAATACACTTCCCACATAAATCTTGCTTACAAGATAACTCACAATAGGTTAAACCGGTGCCCTCAGTTGAGGGATTTTGACTAACTTGCACTTACCAAATATTTCCCCTCCACTTGCGTACTCTGTCACCAGATAGATCATTCTTTCGGTTTCCATTACCTTTAAGAAAAATAAATATAGAGAAGGTTGAAATGGAGAGAAATCAGTAAAATTACATTGCAGAGTCAGACAGTTCCTTAAAAACTATCACTCATACAAAAATGCCATTTATCACATTACTCGCAGTTCACTGAAGTAGGGAAACCACTATAAAAAGCATACTTTGAAATGCAACCCTGAAGTATCCATTTTTACAGAAGAAGAATAATAATAATAATAAAATAATAATAACATTTACAAAACATAGGTCATGGGTGGGGGACAATTATTTTATTAGATGCCCCACCATGAGAAATGGGTGCCCAGCCACACTTTATTGGATTAGCAATTGGGCAGCAATAGCCAGGAAGCTCCACCATTTTGTCACATTTGTAAAACATAGGAAAAATACATAGAACAAAGTAGTCTCTACTTTGTCTTTTATTTAACAGAGAAACAGATAAGAAATTAAGAACAGATTTGGAAAGAGGAAGAAAAGAGGAAACAAAGGAAAAAGGTAAGTTTTAGATGACAGAGCCACTTTAAGCAAGGAGGACACATAGTTCTAGCAGGATGGGACACCCATACCTATGGTGGCAATACTAGGTGTTTAACCCCTTAAGGACCAAACATCTGGAATAAAAGGGAATCATGACATGTCACACGTCATGTGTCCTTATGGGGTTAATAAGGGATGCCAACAAAAGGTTCATTTAGGGCAGAAATTATTCAGAGATAGTGTATTGCAATATATATATTACAAAGCCTCCCTAATATAAACAAAGAAAAGTAAAAAACAAATCTATAGACAAACATCTGCTGAAACATACAACAATATTGTGTGAAACACAACATTCACAATAATATTTTATGCCACATCAAAGTACAATGCAGTTTTGGTTTACCATAAAATCAGCAAATCAAAGCAAACTGTGTCTACAACCTCCCCCCCCACCCTGATATTAGTAAGAGTAATAATCATTATTATAACCAAGTCACGTGAAGTGGCCTCAAATCTGCAGTCCTTTAATATTAACAAAATGCACTTGAAATGAAAAGGGCAATAGGAATGACTGAATAAATCTACTCCCAATCACCACAACCAAGTCTGTGGCATTGTTATAATCACGGACTTCTTTGAAGATCTTATAGTGCATGCAGTTTGATTAGACCGTTTGTTAGTACTGCAATAAAGTGTTGCAAATAATTTCCGTACAAAGAGGGGAAATCAAGGTCCTTTGCCTTAGTGTCAGAAAGTGCCCCAGGCATAGCCAGACAGGTAAATGTGTACATCTGAGACTGAAGCCGATTATGTGAGGTACATGGATTGAGTGAAATTAGTACTAATGATCTCTTTAGAGAGACGGGTACTGTGCAGAATTACAATGTTCCTAAGTTTTTAATGGAAAATAGTTTAGCAAGAAATTTCTCTCTGGTTTCGATTTAAGTACAAACCTGGCACAGAAAGAACCATACAAATAATCAGATAAACCCAAGTACAACAAGTGAATATTGGAGAGAATATGTACCTGGTAAAGGCGGATAATGTGGGGGTGACACAGCATCTTCATAATTTGCACTTCCCGGAATATCTTCTTTAGGTTTTCCTCATCTAACTTAGTCTTGTCAATTATCTTGATTGCAACCTAGTGGAGGGGAGGAGAAAAAAAAAAAAAAACATTATTCGACAACAAGAGACTCCAGAAAACATTCAATAAATTGAATTAGATTTTTGCATATAGAGTCAAATGTACTTTGTTGTTTTGTCAAGGTGACAAGATATAATTTACTGTCCTCTACTGAGCAGAAAAAAAATAATGGACACCCGTTTAGACTTGCTGGTTGCCTTTAAAGCAGTTATGTTTCTACTATATCAACTCATTTTCCTTACATATAGATACAGATTTAGTGCATTTAGTCTTTAATTAAAAAAGTTTAATCCAAGCAGACCTGTCAATTTGCACTTTATGAAAGGTACACACTGCCTGGAAATACACACATTACCTACACTGGCACCTGGGTTCAAAAGTTATGCTTCTAACTAAAGACGTTCAAAAGACCTTGTACATCAGATGTTTGAGTAATCCGTATACCCATTAAAAAGCATTTTCTATTAGTCACTCATTGTCATGACTGTGTATAAGAATCTAGAGAACGTTAACACCATACTGTATTCACATGGCAAGAACCCCCCTCCCGAAAAAAAACAGTCAACTCATGGAAAGCAAGGCTGCTATGAGTTGATATAAAAGTTTAAAAACCATGTTGCGGTTTTTTGTGTGTGAAAATTTCAACATTGGAGAAAGTGAAAACAAAGAAAAATAAAAGATTTAAAAAAAAAAAAAAAAAAAACATTTGATGGTTCCCTTTTAAACTGTGTAAATTTATTTGAAAGCTCATATTTGGACATAGATAAGATAATCCCATAGCATAATATTCTATCACCGCCACTTTGTCTGCATCTTGACAGGTACGAATTGAAGACGGATATTTAAATGTGGGGGATGTTTGACAAAGAATGAAAACAGTGTGTGTAGGTACATGATCCGGCAAACATACTCCACAGCTGGTTTCAAACGGCCACATTCTTCTTATGTGCAAGACGCCTTTCTGCGTCTAAAAGCAAGAATTTCACTTTGGGTCTTTATTTCTTTTCCCTGATAAATTCGTATCTTAGCAAATATCACCACATGACTAGCTCACACCCCTTTCCCACATCAACTTCTTACCACAGTTCATGTTTACAAGTAGGATGAATTGAATGCTTGTCTGGCAAGGCACGGCCCCTTCTGAGCACTAGCAGGGGAGGGGGGCCCATGGCATGTGATATACACACCCCACTAGCACTTTTTTTTCTGGAAGACTCAACATAACCAGACGAAAACAATACTAATTTATGGAGTCAGCACTAATCTAGCAGGACCTCATCCCTACAAGTAGTATGTTGGTCTAATTAAATATGGCATAATAATAGTAATAATAATAATAATAATAATAATAATAAAAAAATAAAAAACACTAATGCTGAATTCGGGAATATATGAAATACAAGCAATGTAAAATGATCAACCCAATTGAAGCTAAAACAGAACACATTTTAATGATCAGAGACAAGGCTGGTAACTATGGAGAGACATTCAATATAAACAGCACTACAACACAAGAATGTACTTCTACAAATACATATACACACATAGACAAAGCATTCTGTAGTTAAATGCACCTGTTAGAAGCAGTTTTTGCTGAGTATATATTGTGCTACATCGAAAAGGGTTACTTCAACCAAACTCTAGAGCCCCTGCATGCAGCAGAAGGTGGAGTTACATCTCCGGCAGCCGAGGGGTAAAACGTTGTCATAACTATTCACTGATTTAAATTTCAAACATAAGGCCAGAGTAGCAGAGTTGAAAGCATAGCAAGCTTAAAGGGAAATGGCCACAGCTTGCCCTGCTATGATCTAATTAAATAAGTGTGGCTTCTGTAACATCCACCTCGATATTTTGTAGGCAATATCCCGATCTGACCACTCCCCTGCTACTCTTGCTCTGAATTAATAATTTCCTTCAAAAGGAATTGGGGTTCACAGCGACTTAAAGCTCAAAAGATTTATGCTCAACTTTATTGAAACCTCAAACTTCAATAAAAAAAATAAAAAAAAAATTATAAACCCTTCAATGAAGTATGTGGTCTCCAACAAATTTGAATGATTTTCTGATCGTAGTTAAGATCTATTAGCTTATGATTGTGCAAACATATATATTTTTGCTACAGAATGCATGTAAACATTAGAATGAAAATGTATACATCCCAAAAGTAGATTGTTTCAGAAAAACAACATTTTATAAAAGGTAACTGAAGCTCAGTCTTATTTTTAGGAGATTAGTTTCCATTTGCGTCATAAAGGCCTGGGTAAAGATAATGCCTTAAAAGGATTTAGAGTGTAAATTCAGAGTTCTTTCTTTAATGTGGAGGGACAAATCACTGAGAAAAAAGGGTCCCAGTCAACACAATCGATCAAATTACAGAAAACAAAAGCTGTACAGTTTCAGTGCAGATACAAAAGCAGGAGGGAGAGACATAAACGTGACCAAGGTGAACTATAACTTTATATTAAACAACACAGCTGATGTCGTTTTACTAACACATAATATAAGAGGAAAATAGGACTGTCACTTTCCTTAACCCCTTAAGGACCAAACTTCTGGAATAAAAGGGAATCATGACATGTCACACATGTCATGTGTCCTTAAGGGGTTAAAGTCATAATTTCTCATTTCTTCACCCCCTCAGACTCAAGCATTTGGTTCACAAACTTTGACATGATTATTGGTTTCGGGTAAATTCTAGTAGTGGCAGCTCATCTTTATAAGAGTTCTCCCCAGATATCCTGTCCCACATGGTATAGCAATCTTTTTCTTAAAAGGGGCACTATAGCCACCAGAACCTGGATCTGGTGTCTATAGCCTCTCCCTGCAGGCTTATTAATGTAAACCCTGCCTTTTCAGAGAAAAGGCAGTGTTTACTGTGTTGCCTATAAACACCTCTAGTGGCAGTCACTCAGACGACGGTGCTTCTTGTGTAGTGCAGCACTGCTGATCAGCGTCTCCATGTTCTGCATGGAGAGGCTGATTGTTTCCATAGAGATTGATTAAATACATCTCTATGAGGAGATGTTGATTGGCGCAGTGCAACGTTTCGCCATGCATGCGCAATAGTCTCCCAATGCTTATTACTGATAAATTATGGATTTACTGAGACCATCTAGACTGATAATGATCTCAAGCACGGAGGATGGACCAACTCGGCGAGACCAGCGCACAATGGAAAAAAAAAGAAAAGAAAAAAAAAAGTACTTTTTAAACATTTTCAAAACAATCTGAAGTGGGATGGGGTGTTAACCCCTTAAGGACACAGCTTCAGAAGCTTGACTTACGCTTAATGACACAAGCAATTTTTGCATTTTCTTGCTGTTTGCGTTCAACTGCAATTTGCAACTCTCTCATTTATTGCACCGACACATATTATATACTGTTTTTTAAAGGACAGAAAGGGCTTTAATTTGATATAACATATATATATATATATATACACACATACATACATATATACATATATATACACACACATATATATATATATATATATATATATATATACACACACATATATATATATATATATATATATATATATATATATATATATATATATATATATATATATATATATATATATATATATATATATATATATAAATGCTTACTTATTATAAAAAAAATACAGAAAAATGCAAAAAAAATTAAAAATATTGTTTTTTTTTACAGTTTTTGCAATAATAATGTGTGCATAATTAGTGCAGGTTAAGGAAAGTAATTAAAAATAAATTTATTTATTTGTTCTGATTTACAGAATATATAATGTGTCTGGGATTTTAAGTTTTTTTTGGTAGTTACAGGTCACAAGGCACAAGGAGTAAAATAGACTTTTAATGTGGAGCGATTTTAGAATTTGGTATGTTTGTCTTGTAAGCTTAATAGCCATAAAAGAAAACAAAATTGCCACACAAAAGTATATATTTATATAAAGTAGACATCACGGGCTATTTACCTAAGGTTGTTTTGACACTTTCTATGTAGCCATTTCACCGCCAACCACTGCTAAATATTGGAGTAAAATTGTGTTCTTTTTGGTTTTTAGCACACAAACTTATAACAGAGAAATTCTCGTGTATATTTTGTAAAGTTGGTGTGTGCTATTCCTGTACAAAGTTTTATTTTGTGTTCAGTTACATCTGCTGAGTAAAATGACACCCCCATTGTATGTCTTTTGCACTATTTCTTGAAGTTACAGTGCCATACAGGATACCTGTCCTTTTCAGTATTCACAGTAGAATTTTGAGAGATGGATTTAATGAGCCTTAGCTTCCATTTTGGGGTATTATAACAGTTTGACTGTTCAAAAAACTCCCACAAAGGCCTACCATTTGTAAAAGTAGACACTCCAGGGTATCTTATAAGGTGCATATTGTGCCTTAACATGCCCCCATTTTTTCACCAATATATGCCAAAGTATGTGGTAAAAAATAATTTGGGGCATTTTTTACATACGGATTACATTTTTGCTGGGCATTTTGTACATTTCATATGTGCCACTAAGTTCAAACCCCCAAATTATGCTCAGCTAAGTCTTCTGAGTAAAATGACACCCCATATGAATGTCTTTGGCACTATTTCGTGAAGCTACAGTGCCATATAGGAGACCAAGCCATATCCGTTTTTACCAAACTTTTGATGCTGGGCCTATGTGCAATTTCCAAGCATCTTCGCGGGTTTTAAATTCAAACTACCCCACAAAGGCCTACCATTTCTTAAAGTAGACACCCCAGGGTGTTTCAAAAGGTATATTTTGAACCTTAGCGTGGGATCATTTTTCCGCTAGCTTGTACCAGATGTAGTGGTAATAAGCGTTTTTTCTGCCTTTTTGACATACAAGTGAGTTTGCACAGTATATTTTGCAAAACCTTATGTGTGCTACGACTGTATAATACTTCATATGTTGCTCAGCTATGTCGGCTGAGTACAGCAATACCCCCGTATGTACCTTTGCCAGGTATGTGTGGACATCGGAGGGGCACATTTGGGACACAGCCATTCCAGTTTTTTTCAAACTTTGAAATTTTATGCTATGCCTATGTCCCATTTTAGAGTATTTTACCAGGCTATATAATCCAAATTCCCCATAAAGCCATACCATTTCTTAAAGAAGACATCCCAGGGTATTTCAAAAGGCATATTTTGAACCTTAGCTTGGGATCATTTTTCCGCTAGCTTGTACCAAGTGTAGTGGTAATAAGCATTTTTTCTGCCTTTTGACATACAAAGTGAGTTTGCGCAGCATATTTTGCAAACCTTATGTGTGCTATGACTGTATAATACTTCATATGTTGCTCAGCTATGTCGGCTGAGTACAGCAATACCCCCGTATGTACCTTTGCCAGGTATATGTGGATGTTGAAGGGGCGCATTTGAGACGCAGCCATTCAGTTTTTTCTAACTTTGAAGTTTTACGCTGTGTCCATGTTCCAATTTGGAGTAGTTTAGACGGTTGGTTATTGAAACTTCCCCACAAACACATACTATTTATTAAAGAATACACCCTAGGGTAATTCAAAAGGCATATTTTGAACCTTGGCGTGGGATAATTTTTTCTCTAGTTTGCTCCAGGTGTAGTGGTAATGAGCGTTTAAAATGTATTTTTTTACTTTTAAAAACTAGTTTTTAAACTTTTGTTTTGCTTATAAATTTTTTTTTAAACTTTCCTAAACTTTCTTAAAACTTTTTTACAGATTTAACATTTTTCTAAGCTTTTTTTTTACCGTTAACCCCTAACTAGCAGTACGCAGCAGTAACAGTAAATTCCCCATTTTCCCATAACTCCCACCCACCCCAGCTAGCAAAATATATAGTTATAAAATATTTAAATTAATTAAATAAATTGAACCCCTGAGGGTTAAAAAAATAAATAAAAGCTAATCCTCAGGGGTTAAAAAAAATTAGATCACAGTATAATACTGTGATCTCTATTTGATCGCTGTAGGCAGTGATCGACTGGCAGGGAAGGGGTTAATTTTATTTGGACTAGGTAAAGTGTGTTTTTTTTGTTTTTTTTACTTAAATGTTATTAAAACATTTTTTTAAGCTTAATTTTTAACTTTTTAAAGTTTCTTTTAAAACTTTTTTTAACGTTAACCCCTAGTTAGCCTAACGCCAAATCCCCCAATTCCCCACTAACTTCCACCTACCCCAGCTAGCTAAATATATAATTAAAAATAATTTAATTAATTAATTTAATTAATTTAACCCCTGAGGGTTAAAAAAAAAAAGAATTAACCCTCAGGGGTTAAAAAAAATAATCAGATCATAGTAAAATGTAATCCCTGCCAATTGATCACTGTAGTCAGTGATCAATTGGCAGGGAAGGGGTTAATTTTTTATTAAAATGGGTAAGGGGGGGGGGACTTTAAATAAACTTTATTTATTTTTACAGCAGGGGGCAGGATCAGCACTGATCCGGCTCCCTGCACTTCACACAGAACCCGGAAGTGCAGGGAGCCGGTAGGTGAGTATACTGAGCACATGTGCTCGCTCTGACTTGCGGTCAGAGCGAGCACATGTGCTGGGCAGACTGACCGGGTGCTCCCGGTATGCCTCTAATGCAGAGGCATACCGGGAGCACCATTAACCCCGCGATCGCGGCGATCCGGGGTTAATTTTACCGCGTGACGGACGAGGTCCGTCACACGTCGTTAAGGGTCTCCCCTCTGTGACGGACCTCGTCCGTCACCCGTCCTGAAGGGGTTAATTAGTTAAACACAGTGTTAGTAATATATGTTTGTACTCCTGACAGTATAGTGCTGCTTTAAATATAAATGTACTTGCTATTCTGCATGCATATTATGTAGAATAATTCTATACTGGGGCTTTTTTTTTTTTTGCAGTTTCACAATGAACACAGTTTAGGAGACACGTATCATTATCTGACTAAGCAGATCTCCTGCTCGCCTCGTCAACAGTTCAGTGATAGTGCATCAGTCCTTCTAAGAGGCATTCCTACAACAAAATAAAACAGACACACACAGACAAAAGGGAGGAAAAGTACTTGAAAGCCAGGACACATGGACTGAACACATCGTAAAAAACCTAAACAGTCTATGCAACATTTTGTGTGGTAAACATCAGCAGTATACCGGTATATAGTTGTTATGGAAATACAGTAGTGGGAAACCATGTATCGCAGGGTTTCTCAACTTGAAAGTTAGGTTAAAGGAACACTACAGGAAAATCGGTCTGCACCCCACCAGTTGCTATATAAAAATATAAAGGGAAGACCATTGAAAGCGAACATATAGTAAACCCCACGTCACATTTTGAGCACTTCTGTTCTCACAGGAAATGCTATATAATACACAGTGGTAACAGATTACCAAGTGTTCTGCCAAAAAATATTTAACTTGGGGCTAAAAAAAAAATCAAACACACACTTTCACCAAGAGGCTGCTGCTCATTTAACTTTGCTGTTTGTTAGAATAGAAAATTAATTGACAAGTCTTTTTTCAAAAACCTAGAGTGAAACTTGCACTGTCCGCAAGCTCAGTATTATTTGCTTGCAATCACAAGCTTATTAGTGCTCATTTTGTGATTTGTTAACCTAACACCCAGCTCATTCATTGACCATCCTTGAAGGTTACTCTCCATTGACCCCAATGTGCTGTACCCTAGCTATTGACACCAGAACACTTTGTAGTGTCCAGAATGGAAAAACAAATAAAGATTACACACTGATCTGTTTATTTTTGGAAAATGAATAGAAAATACATCTGAGACATGCAACCTGTCTGGAAACATGTCCTGGGAAGGTAAACATACAGCACAATCTGCACACAACAACCCCAACATCTTACCCAAGCAGTATACATGAGAAACCCCAATGTTCTGTAAACCTGTCCTAACAGACCCTGAGATCATGGAACCATACCTCCCAATGGTCCCTAATTCAGACAGGACAGTGCAAGGTTTGTATAGTGCCCTGCATCCAGGGAATTGTTCCCAGTAAACACGTTATCAGGTTTTCTAATTCAAGTGCTTCTAACTAAAATTTGTAATTCCCTCGTTCATTCCCAACAATTCAAGACTCAGTAAACCTTATCAGCATTCGTGGTACAAAGCTTTGTAAAAAGCCAATGAAAGTACCACACACAGTACTAAGGCATTGTTTCTAAATCAGCCCTGAAGGCATGCCAAAGGTCTAAGTGTCAGTATCCACATCGGTACAGAACTGGAAAGTACCCGAATACTGGAATGGTGGAATGCCTTGAGAACTGGGTTGGGAAAACAGATCTAAGGAAGGGGCATGAACCACATGGATATTTTTGTGTTATTTCTGTTAACGGGACACTAAAGTCACCCAGACCATGTCACCTAAAACACATGGTCCTGTCCTTTTAACTCTGCGATGTAAAATACTGCATGCATTCCCCCCCACCCCTCATTTTTAAGCCCCTAAGGACAGAGGCAATTGTATAAGTTCTAAACAATATAAAACCTGGAATTTGCACTATTCAACCATAACTTACCTCTTTCATATTAAGTGCACCCACACTTCTTAGATATAATTTTGTTCAGGGAAACAAAGCTTTCAAGTCACATGAAATATTCATATATGAAACAAATGTAATATGAATACAATTTTAAAACATTGGGAAATTAAGAAATTTTATTTTTCAAATAATGCATGGCATTTTAATGGTAAATGTTATAATAGTTTTAAAGGGACACTCCAGTTACCCAGACCACTTCTGCCCATTGGAGTGGTCTGGGTGCCAACTCCCACTACCCTTAACCCTGCAACTGTAAATACAGCAGTTTTCATAAACTGCAATATTTACCTTGCAGGGTTAACTCCTCCTCTAGTGGCTGTCTACTAGACAGCCACTAGAGAGCACATCCGGGTTTCTAGTACAGATTTTCTGTGCTATAGCGTCGCTGGATGTCCTCATGTGAGGACCTCCAGCGTCGCTAAAATCCCCAAAGGGAAACATTGAAAGCATTTTTCAATGCTTTCCAATGGGGAGGTCTAATGCGCATGCGCGGCATTGCCGCGCATGCGCAATCTGTCTCCCCTGCCGGATGACGTCGGCGGAACCTGGGCAAGCGCCGAGGGACATCGGTGATGGACTCCGGTAAGTCACTGAAGGGGTTTAAACCGCTTCAGCAACCTGGGATGGGGAGGTGGGAGGGAGAGGGGACCTGCAGTGCCAGGAAAACGGGTTTAACAATATACACAAAAAAAAAAAAATAGGTTGTGCCAATATAAAGTCCAATTAGTCCACAATTGCTGAAGTCTGTTCTCAACTGGTAACTTCTCCAGACTTCAAATAGTGGGAGTATATGAAATAAAAGCAGAAAATAACCAGTGATGGTGCAGAGCGTATGGAACTAGGTGCAGGACACAACAATATTGTATATAGTATATCACTCACATTTGAGAGAGAGAGAGATAAGACCAGCTCTGAGTTTAACAGCATGGACGGTACAATCCACACTGATAGATATGTAGATCTGAGGGATGGTCCTTCAATGTTTGGTTTGAGAGAGAGATATATACATAATATTTATTTTTTTAAATTATACTACTGTTCGCTTTTACTGCAATAAAATGCACGTGTTCAGCGATGTCTCACAAGTACAATAGTACCTCCCCATGCACATGTTTTATGGTGTTTGGGAAAGTTTTCACTTTTTACACATTGAAATTTGCCCGATTGGTATGCTCAGCATATTTTGCATTTGAAACTGTATGGCAGCCCAGGAATGAAAATTACACCCATCACGACATACCATTTGAAAAATAGACAACCAAGGATATTCGAAATCTAGTATATCCAGTGTTTTTTAGTTGTCATTTAGACACCTACGTGGAAGTTGGCATTCAAATTAGTTTTTTTGCATTTTTCACACACAAAAAAAAATAAAAATATTCCCTTTCACAGATCATATAATCAGCATTATATAGTTTAGTGCTCTAAAACACTCATATTTGTGTTCAGTAATGTCTCACAAATACAACAGCAACAGTGATACATTTTACGGTTTTGAAACACTCATTTGTATTCAGTTAAGTCTCCAGAGTGTAAATTTGGGTATGTACATATGAAACACTGGATATCTCCACCTCTGGCCACATCATAGGGGTGTTATTAGACAGCCCCGACCAAGAGTTGCGTAAAACCAATGTGAATTCTGTGCAACCAGAGAACCAATGGCAGTAAGCCCCCGACCGTGCCGACGATGTCCTCCACTCACTCTGCCATCACTGCCCCCCACCACCTTAGGAAGCCATTGGAAATCTGGCAGCAGGGAGAAAATTTGTCTTGGCACTGGATTGAGGTTATTTAGCTTTATTTTTTTAATATGACTGGGGCACCAGCACAGCAAGGCATACTGTAACCAAAACCAGTGTTTTAAAAACATTTTTTTGTTTGGAGTAACCCTTTAAAATATTCACATCAAATGCGCATCCAAGTACAGAATTAAACTACTATAACACTATAGGGTCATGAACACAAACATGTAGACCTCTATATACAGTAAAATCTTACCATTTCCAGTCTGCTGGTGCTGGCTCTGCCCCTGGCCTGACTCCTTGGCTGACATCACATTCACATGTATTCATGACCCTATAGTGTTAAAACCACCATCTAAACCCCTGACCCTCTAAATATGGTAAAATCTTTCTTCCATTCAAGTCTGCAGCTGATGGCTTTGCCCCTGATCTGCTTGCTTGGCTGACATAATCAGAAGTGATTCTCTGAACAAATCACAATGCTCTCCCATAAGATTGGCTGAGCTTGTCAAGGAGGCACATCAGGTGCAGAGATAGCACAAGCCAAACAGAATCTCCTCATAGAGATGCATTGAATCAATGCACATCTATAAGGAAAGTTCAGTGTCTCCATGCAGAGGGTGGAGACACTGAATAGCAGTCGCAGTGTGCAATACTACCCCAGGAAGCACCTCCAGTAGAGTTATCCCTAGGCTGTAATGTAAACACTGTATTTTCTCTAAAAAGACACTGTTTACTGCAAAAAGCTTAAAGGGAAGGATTATACTCACCAGAACAAATACAATAACCTGTAGTTATTCTGGTGACTATGGTGTCCCTTTAATTAAAGGACCACTATAGGCACCCAGACCACTTCAGCTCAATGAAGTGGTCTGGGTGCCAGGTCCATCTAGGGTTAACCCTGCAGCTGTAAACATAGAGGTTTCAGAGAAACTGCTATGTTTACATTCGGGTTAATCAAGCCTCTAGTACAGTGATGGTGAACCGGTGGCACGCCGGGCCCCCCCTGTGGGCACGTGGCTGTAGGTTCGGCATCACTGCAGAGTAGGCACCTGCCTGCCCGAAACGGCAGGCGCCTACTCTGCTTCCTTGTCGGCAGGACCGGAAGCAGGGGGGAGGCATCTAGGAAACAGCTCTCTTGTCCTACATACTTACCACCACCGGAACCCCAGGGATAGCTGTGTTCCCCCCCACCCCCCCTCCCCTTCACCAAAAGGTAAGATGAAGGTGGGGGGGTGGAGGGGAAATACTGATTCAGTATGCTTTTTTTATTTTATTTTTTTTAACGTTTTTAATGTATCTTAAACCCCCCCCCACAACAGAGCACCCGTATTCCCCAACTGAACACCCTACCCCCCCAACAGACCACCCCTACCTCCCCAACCCACACAGCATCACTACCCCCTCTCACACACAAACACATACACTGCACCCCTCAACGCAGTATATGTGTGTATTAAGCGGACTGCGTGTGTATTCAGCGGACTGCGTGTGTATTTGTGTGTGTGTTTGTATTTAACGGACTGTGTGTGTATTTGTGTGTGTGTTTGTATTTAACGGACTGTGTGTGTATTAAGCAGTCTGTGGGTCTGTGTGTATGTATTAAGCAGTCTGTGTGTGAATGTGTTCAGCTGTGTGTATGCATTGCATTTGTTGGAGATACTAATAAATACATGCTTAATTTTATCTATTTATATCATTATTTAAAATTTGTTTCTGAACTTAAATCTCAGCATTCAGGTTTAATTGCCGTGTTGCCACTTTGAGGAAAAAAAAAGTTGACATGTATTATTGTTTGGGCACTCGGGCTCAAAAAGGTTCGCCATTCACTACTCTAGTAGCGGTCTCACTGACAGCCGCTAGAGGCGCTTCCACGCTTCTCACTGTGAATTCACAGTGAGAAGACGCCAACGTCCATAGGAAAGCATTGAGAAATGCTTTCCTATGGACTGATTGAATGCGCGTGCGGCTCTTGCCGCACATGCGGCGGATGACGTCAGGAGAGGGAGGAGATTCCCCTTCCTCCCCCTTCAGCCCAGCAGCAGTGGGGGACCCAAAGACCCTATAGAGTAGGGGTCCTCAAACTCCGGCCCCCCAGATGTTGCTGAACTACAACTGCCACGATTCTCTGGCTATCTGTGTAATTCAAAGAATCATGGGAGTTGTATTTCAGCAACATCTGGGGGGCTGGAGTTTGAGGACCCCTGCTAAAGAGCCAGGAAAGCGAGTTTGTTTTCCTGGCACTATAGTGGTCCTTTAAGAGTGTTTTTTTTTTTTTTTGCTTTTGTGGATACACTGAATGCCTTATGTAAGTAGAGATTAATTTAAAATGTAATTGCCAATATCAAGAAGCTCTCCCACCAGTTAGCAAAATGTGCATTGTATTAGAGTAACTAGCTTCTTCACGGTACAGTCTCATTGATTGGCAGCACGACTTATAGCCATCGTTTCACACGAATAAAAGTATTTTAACATAGGGATAGAAGCAAATGAGCAGCCATGACACTTCCTATTAAGTCACAATCAATGTAAATAGGATTTAAATAAAAATGTATCTGTGGGTTTTTTGAGTTTCTTTTAATATGTGGGGGGGGGGGGCAAAGCAGCAATCACTGTTCTCTGAAGATCATGAGTTTTACACAGCAGATATTCTTTTTTTCTAATTAAAAGGGAACAGTTACTTCTTGAGAAGTGACAATTTGCTGTTCCCTCGCACCAATAATCGCACAGATGAAGCAAGTATCAGTCATCTGCAGATATTGGTATACCAATTCATTTACATGATGCTCTGTCTGTGCAAGGAAATGCAAGCTTTCAATGTAAATAAATAAAAATAATAATAAAAAACAAAACAGACAACAGCTTTAAACTAAAAATAATTAAGTAAAAAAGAGGCAATAGATGTTAAAGGGACACTATAGTCACCAGAACAACTACAGCTTATTAAATTTGTTCTGGTGTGTAGAATAATTACCTTCAGGCTTTTTGCTGTAAATACTGTCTTTTCAGAGAAAATGCAGTGTTTACGTTACAGCCTAGTGATAACTTCATTGGCCACTCCTTAGATCGCTGTTAGAGATTCTTCCTGGGTCATGGCTGCCTAAAATGCATCCAAACATTCAGTATCTCCTCCCTCTGCATGCAGACACTGAACTTTCCTCATTGATTCAATTAATCTCTATAAGGAGATGCTGATTAGCCAGGGCTGTGTTTGAATCATGCTGGCTCTGCCCCTGATCTGCCTCCTTGTCAGTCTCAGCCAATTCTATGGGGAAGCACTGTGATTGGATCAGGCTACCACTTCTGATGATGTCAGCAGCCTGCTTGTTTTTTTTGAGTCAAACAGCATGCAGATCTACAGCTTCTGGCTTGAATACAGTAAGAGTTTGCTATATTTATGGATGCATGAGAGGCCCAGGGGGGCTAGATGGTGGTTTTAACACTATTGGGTCAGGAATACATGTTTGTGTTCCTGACCCTATAGTGATCTTTTAACAGCTTGTATATAAAATCAATGATAGTTCTAATTTAAACTTTTTTTTTTTTTTTTTTTACACTTTTGGCTTATACCACACATTTTAGTTGAGCGCCACAGAAGTACATCTCGAAGGCAAACTAAAGACCTGTAAAATAAAATTAAAATACGTACAATTAGATATTGTCATTGTTTTTCTTCCATCTTTATTCTACCCCTTAAAAGTCCCAAACTTGACGAAAAAGATTAGTCTTCACCCCACAAACCAAGCTCACAAGCCGGAGAAAGTCTGGTGTCTGTATTTTGCTCTTCTGTGGGATTCTTTCAGCTGAAAGATTGTGGGTAAATTACATTCACAAGGGAATGCTTAAAGGATCGCTACAGGGTCAGGAACACAAACATGTATTCCTGACCCTATAGTGCTAAACCCACCATTTAGGTGGCTTACCCACCCATAGCCCCCCCCTATAAAAGTTTAAAACTCACCATATTTCCAGTGCAGTGCTGGGCTAAAAATCAGCACAGGGTCGGGCCAACTGCCATTTTGGCCAATCAGGATCTTCTCATAGAGTTGCATTGAATCAATACATCTGTGAGGAAAATTCAGCGTCTCCTTGCAAAGTGTGGGGACGCTGAAAGGCAGAGCTGCTTACTGTGCAGCCCTGAGCCAGGAAGCCCCATCCAGTGGCCATCTGGAGAAGTCCCTAGGGGCAATGTAAACACTGCCTTTTCTCTGACAAGGCACTGTTTACATGAAAATGCCTGAAGCGTGACTATAGTGTCCCTTTAAAGAAACACTGAAGGCACTGTAACTGCTTCATCTCACCAAAGTGTCTACAGTATCTGGAACCCCTGGCACCATCTTTTCATTCATTGTTAAAAAATATTAAAAATATTTTAACCCTAATACAAATCCCCAGGCGCCCATACCACCCTGTGCTGCTCTGGCTAAAGAAGCATTATGATTTGCAGAGTGTCAGCTGTCTACTTTCAGCCTATCATAGTGCTCATTCATATACGAATCAGTATGGCTACAAGGAAGTGTGTAATCTATGCCTCAGCTTTACCTCCAGTGTTGTCAGGGCTATAAGAGCCAAGGACAGCCATTAGGTGTTAAACTGCTTGAAAATAGTTTGCTAAATCATGGTTCTAATGGCTACAGTGACCCTCTAAGCACCACTGAACAGAATAAGTCCTCTCTTTATCTAATGTATAAAAAATAAGGAGGATTTATAAATAATTAAAAAAGTGTGGGGAGGATAGAAAGACAATAGTGGAATGAAATTAGAAAAAAAAAAAGAAAAAGAGTAGAGTGACAATGCCACTTGATGGCAAATGTTGAAGCATTGTTATTTTTGCTAGGCCACATTAACAGTCTGCGACCATGTGACACTAGAGGCTAGTGACAGGCTAAATCTTTTGCTAGCGATGCTACAATTTAAATAATTTAAATACTATTTTAGTAGCTTAAGTAATTGAGCATTTTGATGCAATGATAATGAGTCTTTATACAACATTCTATGGAATCAATTGCAGACAAGGGATTATTCAAATATTAAAATATTTGAAACGTACAGCCCCAGTTGCCATAGCAACAAAAATAGTTTCTTAAATGCTGTGTTTTTATGTCTTTAAAGCCATTGAAGAAAGAATAAATTAGCAGATCCACTCAATAATCTTTGCATGTTTTAGCCAAGTGGGCCAGCATATTTAACCAAAAATAAGAAAAATAAACAAATGTGATACTTGTTCGTTGAAGAAATGTTTTTAATTTTATCAGAGAACTAATGGTTAGAAAGTTCCAAAAGGGTGGTATGCAAAAACATAATTAAATGTTTTTTTGACTAAATAAATATACACGATAACAGGAGAATTATTGATAAATAAAAATGTTAAAGTCATTTTAAGCTTGTATATAGAAATATTATAGAGGTTAGCTGTGATCTGGAACAAACGCTAAGGCAGGAAAATGGTATTCTCACGATACAATACCAAAAAGAAAGAAGACGCAAAATGCTGGGGCCACAGATTATTAAAATAAAAATGAGAACACTGTATTGTTGAACATTGAACAGGAGAGAACAGGTAAAAAACAAATGTTAATATTTGGTTGGATATTATGGAGGCGGTAGGAAGACAAGCTGAATATCATGTGCAGGGACTGGGAAGAGTGACGTGTTTGAGACCTGGAGCAGTTTAGTGTGTCTTTTAGAAGCTATGCAGTTTCCTAGAAGAATCAGAGCATCTGATCCACTTGTTGCCTGGAGACACACATAACACAGCCTAATAGCCACACTGCACACATTCATATGTAAATCCACAAATGCTATATGCCCACATCTGAATTCTAGAGAAACACACACACACAAAAAAAAACAAAAAAAAAAAAACTCATGTGGATAAAATCATACATCATCTGATATTTCTTTCCTATTCAATTTCAATTTACATTAAAGAAGAAAATTTAGAGTGCACGCAAGAAATCAGGATGTAGATATCCAATGTGATGGGAAATATAGTATTCCTAGAACACGGCCATATATTCATTCATTTCTCACAGAATCTAGAAATATCCATTATATATACAGACTGATTTTCCTCAAAAAAAAATATCAACTCCAGTGCCAACAAAACAAGTGCAGGCCTACCTGGAAAATTTAGAATACACACATAATGTATACATGGAACAACCACAAAGAATATGTGCCATTTAATAGATACAATTTGTATACTTGAACACTACCTCTCTTTCTAAACAAAATCATATTTACAGATAATAAAAAAATTCTCTGAGATCGATTGTATTACTAAGGCAGATCAGGAACTAGAGAAAACCACTTTTTTTTTTTTAGGAGGTACAGCCAATGAAAAATATTCGACATTTTTCTTGAAAGATTAATTTTTATTGAAAATGGAATTAATGTAGGATTGTTGGTTTTATTGGCCACAATACAGTAGAGCTTATGTTATTAAATAAAATACTTCTACATTAATCGCAAAAAAAATAAAAAAATATATATTTATTCTAGCATAAACCAAGTGTATAAACAAACAGTTATGACTTTTATTTTAATATAACTTCCACCAGATAACCCCCAAAAACTAACAAAATTTCAGGTTGGTGCACAAAATTGTAGACAAAGAGCAGAATTCGGTCATGCAAAATGGCGTATTGCTCCGTTGGCATAAGAGTAACTCGACCCAGCATAGAGAGTTATTGGAGTCTTTATATTGCCTGGGGAGGCCAAAGGGTTCCTATAGTGTTAAGGATACAAAGATGTATTCCTAACACTATAGTGCTCTTTTAAAAGTATATGGGAAACATTTTTTACTACAACAATAGGAGCAGATCACCAAACACCTATCAACACTGCTGGCAGCGGCAGTTTCATAACTCTGCCCCGAGCAAAACATGACTCCTGCATGAGTAGATCAATAACCATCAGTGTACTAGTGAAGTGAGCAAACCCGAAAACATCCACTTAGCTTCTCTTTTAGTAAGGGTTGGACGGTAATCATATAAAATGTAGAATTAAAAAAAAACACATTGACCCAAAAAGAAAAGTTATTTTGTCCACGTTGACCAGGAAAACAAAAATTAAACATATCTTAAACAAAACACACACAAAAAAACAAAAACAAAAAAAAAAAACAAAAAAAACACTGCACTCTTACAACAGACCTGAAGCAGAGCCTCCCGAGCCGTAGCTCCCTCACCTTTGCTGCTGCTTAGACAGGGGTATGCCTGAATACCTCATCTGCCAGAGGCAGGCAAAGAACTGGGGAGCTTGGGTGTTAAATGCACTTTATAGTGACAGAGGAGATTTGGGGGAGCGCAACACCATTTTCTGGGCTAGAGATTTGTGGGAGGTTCTAAAAAGTGTGAACGTTTGCCTGCCTTATTTTTACTCCAGATTAGAAATCCGTGTCATAATGCACTGCCTCTAATCTGAATGGAAAAATATCAACATACATTTGCCATCATTTCATAAAATCCATTAACCCTGATCAAAGTTAGTTTGGAGTAAGACGCCCATGGAAGAAGACGCCCATGATTCCAAGCATTCTTACAGTATATTTTGGATCAATGGATACATTCTTACATATAAATCTATACCAAGCAAACGGATGTGAAAACTAATTCTTAACGCATCATCTTGTCAATATAATAAACAAAATACTTTAATATGAAAAAAAATGTATCGGTTAAATAGTGCATAAACCCACAGCTCTTTCCAACAAGGCATAGCTCTTAATACGGATTATTGTAGTATATTAGTATTTCATCAATCAGATTTATGTGGGCGGGGGTTCATTTTGAGTCATCCATTTACTAATTCTGAGCAATGGCAGAATTGGCCGACTATCCAGTTTCTTCAATATCTTTGGGTTCAAAACACTCCTACCCTTCAAATTTCCTTCATCATATGTCCCGAGATTGTTAAGAGATTTCCTACATGGATAGAACAGGGAAATTCCTGCCTGGTGAGTTCAGCAGGATATCATATAGTACATAAATATCATGGCATGTACCATTTCAGATGCATTCACCAATGTACTGCCATTACATTCCACAGTTAAAGTCGCCAATGAAGCTTCCTCTCACAAGAAAAAAAAAAAAATAAAAGACACTTGTGGTGAGTGCCACCAACATGGATTTTCATTTCATTTTTTTCTATGAACAAATATGATCAATTATTAAATAACATGACCCATAAATCATTCCATGTCTCTGCAAAACGGTTTAGGCCCACCTGTGCCTTTTCACTGTGAACCTATATATGTACACCAGAATGGGTAATGAGGAGGGGCAAGCTGAGCCTCATGGGAAATGCAGTTCAGAACATCTGGAGAGCCAAGCTTAGATATCACGGATTTACAATGAGTGATGCATGTCGGATCTAGTATCTGAGCAGTAACCAAAAAAAATAAAAAATAAAGTAAATAAAATAAACCACAACAAACAAAGCAACCAAACAATGTACTGTAGTGTATATACCAGAAATAAAAATAAAAAAATTTCCTTAAAACTCCCATTAAGGGTAACGTTGTAGAAAAACAAGTGTTTATATAAATACACTTGTCTGGCAAGTAGATTTTTTTTATTTTTTTTTTTTACACATCAGTGATCTTTTCACTCTGGGGCACTAGAGATGTTTATGCGCATCACATTTGTATGGTTTTTTTTGTTTTGTTTTGTTTGTTTTTTTACTTTCTTCAATATGGTTTTTATTAGGATTTTGTTTCATCGTTTACAAGGGAGTGAACAGTGGGTGATATATGGCATCACAAGAATACCAATGGTTTTGGTTACAAAGGTAACAATAAGTATAACATATAGTACGGTAACAAGTAAATGCATACAAGAGTTCCTATACATAGTTTGGTTGCGTGAGGGAGTATACACATTTGCGGTATTGTTTAATACCCTCATTGTGCTTTCGGTATATTATATTATTTGCTTGTCATAGGCATCTATTCCATTTGCCGTCACTAGTTGTGGGTGTCTGTCTGTCACATAGCTTTTACTGGTTGTTGCCGTGTAAAATTACCCAGGTTGTGTGGAGTATTTGTGCTGTTTTTGCGTCTGGGGCGGCCATACGTTCGTATGTATAGTATTGTTGTATTTTGTCCCATAGTTTGGCTTTGTTTGGGCAGAATGTGGATTTCCAATTGCAGGCTATCAAGTTACGGGCTGCCAAAATGATGATTGCACTCAGTTGTTTGTGTGCATATTCAAATGATGGGGGTAATCGCATAAGCAGGAATAATTCAAGGGTGATCCTGGTGTGTGGAACCTTGAGGGCACTTAATGTGTTTTGTACTTCTACCCAAAGGTGTTGGATGTTGGGGCATGACCACCATGTGTGTGTGCGTGCCTGTCTCTGCTGAGCACCTCCAGTAGAGGGTGGATGTATTGGGATAGATTTTGTGGGGTGTGTGTGGAGTTAAATGCCATCTGTACAGCAATTTTCTATGTGCTTCTATATGGGTGTAGCACTTAGTCCATTTAGCTATGTCATTCAGTGCGTGGATCCATTCATTATCTGTGAGTTGGATAGCGCATTCTGTTTCCCACTTTGTTTTGCAGTGCGGTGTAGTGTTGGTTAGGGTATCATCCCAGGCCTTATAGCATAGGGAAATATTTTTCTTTTTCATAGGGCCCTTCCAGCATCTTTCTATTATCGCTTTTGCTGAAGAGGGGCTTGGGCTAGGGTTTTGTTGTTTTCTGTTTACGTGTGTGGTGATGATCCCTTTTAGTTGTAGGTATGTGAAAATAGTGTTTGCTGGTAATTCCCACTTCTGTTGTATGTCTATGAAGGTCATTACGTCTTGTGATTGTAATAATTGGTGAATGTGCGTAATACCTGCATGTGACCATGTCTGGATACGCATGTCAGGTGATATGGCCCTTAGTGCTGTTAGTGGTGCATTGGGGTGGAATTTTTCTTTGGCTCCCATTGTATCTAGGAATTTTGACCAAATATGGACTGTCAGTGTCGTGGTCGGGAATAGGTTTGGCTTGTTTGGTCTATGTTTCCTCGGTGTCCATAGGAAGTCGAGTGTCGCATTTTTGTCCATTGGGCTCTTTCCATGTCCACCCATTGAATATTACCTTTTTCTGAGAGTATCAATATGCCTGATGCCAACATTGTGGCTTTGTAATATTGGCCTATTTCGGGTAGCCCTACTCCTCCGTTTTTTGGATGTTTATAGAGTAAGGTGCGGGATATGCGTGTTTTTTTGTTTCCCCATATGAATGAGCTGCAGATGTTTTGCAGTCAGTTGAGGAGTGTTTGTGGGGCCTGGATGGGGAGCATTCTGAATATGTAGAGTATCTTAGGCAACATCATCTTGTATGCGTTGATTTTTCCTAGCCATGAGATGTGTGTTTGAGACCATTTTTGTATGTCTCTTTTGCATTGTTGGGGGAGCGTGAGGTGATTTAATACATTTGTATGTTTTTTTAATATACATTTAGCCACCTGTATTTGTTAATTACTTTGTACAACGGCAACAAAGAAGATAGAAAAAAAAAAGTTAGTTTGTTTTTCCATCTTTTTTTTCTATGTTTATATTGTATTAACCATAATATACAAAAATCTGTAAAGCAGAAGCAGGTCACAAAGTGCTGAACATTTTGTACTACACAGCACATTATACAGCGCGCAGACACTATGATATTTCAATAACCTCATACACAGAAAGCAATCATTCTACTGGCTGTCGGGAACCAGCAGTAATCAATAATGAAATTAATAGACATACTTAGGATATTCTCTGTATTAATTGGGTTTAATTGGGCTGTCATTTTCACTAGTAAACCATAAATGGTGTGGTTTATTAAATTTGCATGCATGTAGAATCATTACCAGCCAATGCAATGTTACTGGTTTGTTTTGTGTAGAGAAAATTTTATTAATTTGAAAACAAAACAAAAAACACAGATAGCACAGAAAAGAAATACTTAAAACACAGAAAACACAAAATGTGAATTTCAATTTGGGGAGGGGGGGAGGAGTGGCAATGGCTGCAGTTTATAGCCTGAGATGTCTGGGTGGGACATAAGGGTTTAATATCTTAAAGGGACAACTACAGCTTAAAAAGACATTAAAGGTGGTCACAACCACCACTTCTCATTGAAGTGGTCTGTGCGCAGTATACCTCTCCTAGAGCAGTATTTGATTGACGCAGCAGTGTATTTTCCAGTGCATGCGCACACTAGCCACCCAACCCTTCTTTAAGTGTTAGATTGGCAGAGATGATCAATCTTAGTGATCTCAGCCAATGAGACAGTGGCAGAATGGGGAGCAGTACAGTAAGAGCTGAAAGATAAATAACACATTTCAAACCTTCACAAGGGCGGAGAAAAATGAGGGGGGCAGACAGACATCTAGATAGGTAACAATAAACTATAGATGATGAAATACTTACATTGACAGAGGTGAAAGTTCAATGAAATTCCAACACAGTCAAAAAGATATCACTAGACAAATTAGGGACTAACTTTGTTTTGTGTATTTTTAATCAGCACTGAAGATTGTCACAGCCATAGGTAAATTAATCCCATACTAGCAAAAGTTAGATTTCCATTCACCAATAGCTAGTGGGTGAGCAGAAATTGATCGCTACTTAAAGCTATTCCAGAAGTGGGGTTGCAAGTTTCAAAATATATTTTAATAATCTACCAGAATAACCGGACCATGCAATTTGGAATGTACACAACATAAGTAAATTATTAAATTAAGCTACTGAAAATGTACCAGTTATATTCATGAATGCTGTAGATCTACAAAACTCTGCTTGTAATTTCAAATCATTTATTTAGCAAACACTTCCAATTACCTTTGTGAAAAAAAAATAATTAGGTTTCCTTTAAAAGCCATACTTGATAACAACTTGGTCAAATTTGAGTTTTTTTTTTATAAAGATAGAATCCTTAAAGGGATACCGAGCCCCATAACCTCATCTTTAAAATGAATTTGTTATGGTGTCAGGAGGTCCCTGGGGCTAGCTCACCTTAATGGATTAAAGCATTATGACGCTCTAAACCAATTAGTGACTCCCATTCATAAAACTTGCTTGAAAAGAAACGTATGTTTTCAAACCAGTTTTATGAAGGGGGCTTCATGGATTGACAGAGAGCACCAGCTAACCGCTCTCAGCCAATCAGTGGCACCGCTGCCAGAGCCTTACAGTTTAGAGATTTTTAGAACATGGAAGGGCAGAGAGGCAGTGAAATGTGGCGCTGAAACACAGACTTTGGGGTTAAACCTTTCGAGAATGGTTTAACCCCATAAAGTGAGGACCAGGAATTGCCTGGCATAACTTCATTTCAATTAAGTTGCTATGTTACCTAAACTGTTCCTTTAAGAAGAAAGTCATGCAGACTGTGTGGGAATTTCAATGACAACTCCCAGTCAACCATAAGATAGACTGCTAGTGGCTATTTTGCAAAATGTAGCAAGCAGAAAAACTTAAAGTATGTACCACTCATGATGGCTGATGGGAAAAGACACCTTTTTAAGGCACTGATCTAGAGACTCCTCACTGCATAGACACAAAAGGATCTCCATTGGATCTCAGTCTTATTGAATCTCCCACAGGTCACATTTTGTACAGATTCACCAAAGTACAACAGTAATGTGGTTTCCTCTACCAGGGATGGATTATGGAAGTTAATCCAGAAGAAACCATAACATCAAATCATAGTAATGCCTGTTACTTAAAATGTTATCAGGGCTCAACATTTCCACTACCACTAGTTGTGAAGCAGTAGTAGAAATTCACCCCCAGAAGGTATACCATGGCTTCTGTTTGCATAAATACTTTAAGGCCTGGCTAGAAGCCAAGTACAACAAATAATTTTATTGTACAACACAAACCGACAAAAAAAAAAAACACAAATACAAGTATGCAAAAGTATTTATTTTTTTTTTTTTTTAATTATTAGCATTTATAAAGTGCCGACATTCAGCAATGCTCTCCAATTACAAAACAAGGATATTTGACAAGTTCATGCCATACAGAATATTAACAGGGACAAGAGGTGAAGGACCTGCTCAAAACAAGCTACCGACCTGAAAGAATGTGCAGTCCAACTTGGTTAATAAAGTAAACTCCTCATGCATGACTTTCAGGCAATCCAATACCTGACTAAAAGCAAGAGACAGTTTATGCTGACATAACCACATGAGACAAACAAACAACAAGCCTCAGGTGTACTACATAAAGAAAAATGCTGCTCCCAGCACATTTTTATGAAATAATTCATGTGTATTAGAAGAGTGCAACGGCAAACATCCAACACGGTTTAGAAAAAGTATTACACGTAACACTTTTTGGGTGGAATTTCCATTTAACTTAGACCATGTCACCAGGTACTGTCAGCTCCAAGTCTGCACTTGAAAAAGCAGAGCAAACACACTGTCCTTCAGTGTCACTGAACAATGTATCTATCAAATATTAAACAAAACTCTGCACTTGATGAACACATTCAATACATTGCTTTGAGAAGGCAATGAATCACTTCCTAAGGGCATGAATTAAAGTCCTGAATAAGAGAGACACTGCAGTCCCGAGCAGTGATGTATAAACCTGCAAAGTCTGGAGCACAGCAGTGCTGTTAAGGATAACTGGTAGCAGTGACAGCTGCATGGTGTACCCTGGATATGAATTAGAATGCAGATAGCCGTAGAAAATTGAATACAGATCTGCTGTTACTTTAACCTCTTCTTATATACAACAATATTCCCAATCTACTGCATCCAGCTACTTTAGATACTGGCTGTTTTATCCAATTTATCCAATATGTGATGCTAATAATTATCTTCCACATTGAAAAGTTTTATAACATTGCCTTTTTATAAACCTTGGAATTCTATTCAACATTACCTGCATATATCTACAATACGTCTGGGGTAATAAAGCATCCAAAATTTACACATATAAAAGGATGGTTCACCAACAGAGTCAAAGATCTATAAAATTATTACTCAGGAAAAAAAAAAATTGAGGTCTATATATTTAAGTGGACACTATAGGCACCCAGACCACTTCAGCTCATTGAAGGGGTCTGGGTGCACTGCCCCTTTACCCCGCAACTGAAATTTTTGAGAAACTGCAATAATTACCTTGCAGGGATAGCTCCACCAGACAGCCACTAGAGGGACTTCCGGGTGGTTCGGCGACTTTTGGCCATCTGATAACTGCTCTGCATGAGGGCATCACCCAAAACATCATAGGAAAGCATTATACAATGCATTCCGATGGGGGAAATCCTAAAGCGATTGAGCCGCTCGGCACACATACACATTAGGTGCTGAGGGATATCGGTGCAGGAGTCAGGTAAGTGATAAAGGGGTTTTTACTTTCAGCACTGGGGTGGGTGGGCGCGAGGAAGGGGGGCACTATAGTGCTAGTAAAACAACTTTGTTTACCTAGCACTGTAGTTTCCCTTTAGGTTAAAATGGAATGTTGGCAGAAAACCCAAAGGACTCAGAGAAGGAATTTCTAGGGTCATAATAATGTGGCTCCACAACAATGGTACAAAAAAAAATAAAAAATAAAAAAAAAAAGTGAAGAAAAATCTAAAAGTGTCAATATAGGAAAAATGTAAAAGGACAGGCTAAACTCTATAACCATTTCACCTCAATAAAGTGGATATAGTACCGAGTCCCATGGCGCTCTCTTTGGTCAGTGTTGAATCGTTTTCAAAAGGTTTACATTGAGTAAGGGTCCCATGCAGCCCACCCCCTGATAGAAGTAGGGGTAGGCAGAAATTAGACTCCACTTTAGCTGTAGCAATTCATAGAAGAAACGTGTGCTTGTGATAGGTTGAACATCTCAGTCTATCACTGCTGTTCAGATGAATGCAGAAGCATTAGCCTGAGAAGCACAGAGGGATCTGACCGCATTCATTCATAATTAAACCAATTTAAAAACAGTTTAACACAAGTTTATCCACTCAAATGAGATTGAGTGTTTATGGTGCCCTGTACTCTTTAAGACTTTTCTGATTTATTCCTGGGCATTACACTACGTCTTAACCAAACTCACCAGCCAATTACTGTTGCCCATCACTGCAGAAAGGGACTGTGCACCCAGAGACCTTCAGTTTTAAACCACTCAAATATATTGTAACCTTCAACCAGCATAATCCCTTTATTGAGTTGGAGCGGTTATAATGTGTAGTGTCCCCTTAAGAAATAATATATAGATTGATATAAAAGGATGGAAAAATGCCTTGACTAGATTGAGTGGCACACACACGTCTATGATTAAGTGAAGGTGTAGTAACAAAGGTAAATACATAAGTATTGAGGGTATTCCAAGCTGGGACTGACTTTTGGGCAAATGGAACGCTACATACATTTTATTTCTAAGTACCACCACTCTTAGCTCAGTGTTGGAGATTGCCTAGAAAAGGAAAACAGGATCTTAAAACCTGGACAAAAAACACCAAATGATTATGAATCTTCAGGCAGGGAAAACATACATATATAAGAATTAAAATGTGTACTATTGTGTTATACACGAGAATATGAAAATAAATGAAAATATGTCTTCAGTCTAGCATGACAGATAGACGACCAGTGTTATAGAACAATGACCTTATTTGCGGATTAAATAATCACTGTGATAAATCCAGAGGATCCATATAAAGAGCATGTTACAGAATTTAAAGTGTTGGAATCACGCAGATATACTGTTTTTAAAGTAATGAAATCGGATATACCCAAAATAATCTTATTTGGGTTGTCATCTTTAAAACCACATAAAGATACTCTACTGCCCAAAAACAATTCTAATGACTTTATAGTAGATATACCCCAAATTAAAACCAAAACACTTATGCATTTTTTCACTGGGGTATATCTAAAGACAACTTGCCAAATCTGCAGCCATGGTAAGCCCTCCTCTTCTAACTCCACTCAAATTGTCTGTGGCTGTCCAATCGCAGCCTTCCCAATGCAGCTCAATGAAAAGTTTTTGCAAGGCAGTTGCTCTGGGTATTGTCCGCCTACTAAGTTTAGCTCCACATAGCTAAACTGCCAGGGATTAACACAACCAGATGCCTGATTGACAGCCAAGGGAGTGTAACAATGCTAAATTGTAAAAAGTTCCAGCTTCTCTTGAAATCTCTCATGCAAAATGAAAACCAAAAGAACACACTTAACACAAAGCATTCCAGTAAGATATAGTGTTCCTTTAAAAAGATACAGAGTCTTAGAGATTTTTTTTTTAATGACACTAAACAAAAGGACAATATCAACAAGTAGGATCTGTATTACAAAGTGACATTTACATATATAGTTGCCTGGATGTTAGAATGCGAATGTTACACAAGTGGGAATGGTACACTATTAGAAAAAGATGACTTGGCTATGAGCGGTCTCTCGTCATGTGTTGTGGTTAGATAAAAGAAAGATTTTCTTGAGCACAGTCAATGAAAGTTTTGGTGGGGAGCTGCTGATAAAAAAAAAATAAATAAAAAAAAAAACAAAAACAAAAAAAAACCAAGAGACACAAATATGCATGGGGAGAGAATTAGTAAGTCTGCCATGGAAGAAAATGTTAGCAGTAGCAATCTTGGAAAGAATGTTGGAAGATATGTATCCAGGTGGATTTCTTGAGACTTTTCTCCAAAAATATGACCCAACTATATTTTACCTACTAAAACAGTTTTATATTGGAGCCAATTGGTGTAAATAAAAAAAAAAAATATATATATATATATATATATATATATATATATATATATATATGACACAGAGGAATTATTTTTATATCTGATCATCAACGGATTTAAATTTTGGTGCATAGAATGACTATTGGGTGGTTGATCTGAGAAGATGATTTGGATACCAAAACTTTATCACATCAAAATAGAAAGCAATACACAGCTCTTAGGACAATCTAATTTTTATAAACATAAAAGAATCTTCTTTCCCAAAAGAATGACCCAATTCTACCATGAGGTGTCAACTTTCTAGATAAGATGTCTTAAATTATTAAATTACGTACAAGTATTAAAGGAAACCTGTCACCCTCTTGCTTAATTCTCCTATCACACACCATGATTTCACTACAGAGAGTTCTGTAACACCAACCTCTGATCAACATGCACTCCATGCAGCCACTTCACTGATTTGCTCAAGCAGAACAAAATATCCTCTATGACAGTGACATGGTGGCTTTGCTGCCAGCGTCTGAAGGGTCCGTTTCTATGCTCCTAGCACAGGCTAAGGAGTTAGGATAGCAACCAAAGCACATGCGCTGTGGTTGCTAAGGGTCAAGAGCAGAAGGATCAGTCTCTTCTGCTCTCTATACCAATCAATTCCTCAGCAGAGAGAGTCTGCGCCAAAGATATGATTGACAGCTGATAAAAAAAAAATATATATATTTTAACAGGTTTTTCTTCCAATCTATAAATTTGATAGTAAAAGTAGCTGGGCAGAGCAAACGGGCACCTTCTTGGAAATTTAAAGTTAAACTGTTATGGTCCAGCCTCTTGGGTAAAACGGCACACCCACCATAAAAAAAACTTAATTGTGATTACATTGTTATGGTGCCTGAAGTGACCATATAATGAAGTGATTTTGGAGCATATATGCTGCCCCTGCAGTCTTGCGAATGTAACACTGTTTACATTTTGCAATCCCAGCACTACTAACGGCTGCTTGCATGTATTGGGGGCTTTGTACTAAAACAGATTCAATAATTGAATCTATTTTATGACCGGGAACAGGATGAAAAAAATAGTGAAAAGAAGAGTCAGCTGTCGCTCTCTGCCCATCACCGGCAGCCACAGCAAACATTCCTGGAGTGGATGGTGGCCAGAAGAAGAAACATAGCAATCAGACACAGAGACCAATGCTACTGGTAAACCATTGGAAAATGGTATTAATGCCTGAAGGCAAGACGCTGCTCACGCACTCTTGCGCCCATAACAACTTCATTGAGATTAAGTTAGTTATGGGTGGTGGAAGTGTTAATTTAAGTGTTTGCGGTGGGAGAAGAATACACTAATATGGACTGAACTCAAATGCATATATGTTTTCACATGCTAATGTACTGTAGGAACAGCATTAATCTCAAGTGGCCACCATAACTATATTGCACTAGTCACACACGCAAACCAAAATTTTGCAAAAGTAAAGTGGTCAGATCATTCAATAAAAATTATTGAATAAGCAACACCAAGTTATATATAGCTGCAAAATCCACACCTCAAAATACATGTTCAATCACCGAAGAATAAACTCCTGCTGAATAGCTTATTTTACAAATCAACAACTGGAGAGCTACCTAATGTCCATCAATGCACTCAAAGCTCACATGTTCTCTAGGAACATTTATGTAACACTAGCATAACATAATAGGTCATTCTACAGTTCAACTTTCAAAGGAGTTATTTGTCTAACAAATTTGTCTGCCCCAGCAGCTGAATGACAAAATGCAGAAACACTAAATTATTACATGATGCATTATATAACCAGAAGAAAGCATTAAACCAAACTGTTATGAGCCAGATTAATATTGGAGGTGATAAGCGTAGACATGAATACGCATGATCTGTGCTCATAGACCGACATGTATACATAGAATCACAAAGCCCTTGTAATTATCACATTTGTTATTGCAGAAGAATGGTTGGGGGTACCAATTATCATTTGCTACCAGGGGTGATGTGACAATATTGCCAACTGCAAAGGAAACTGAATAGAAGAATGGAAACAAACTGTGCACAAAAATGGATCACAGGATCTCTTCCACATCACCATGACACCATCACCTCATTTTAGGAGACAGCTCTTTAAATCTCACAATTCTGTTGCCAAATCCTGAGGCATGAGCTGGGTCTGTCACGTTCTACAACAAACATCCCAGTGACAGGTGACAAAACATCTATAACACAACTCTCATTAGGCAGATGATACTTCACACCAACCCCCCCAGGGCAAATACGACACCCAAGTAAGAGCAGTCACACTGTCCCAAACATACATGTGATACACCTTTTTCCCTATGTAACTGATGACTATGTGAAACTTCTTCAACATGTGGCATGCATACCTTATTGGGTTCTTACGACAGGGTTCAATCAGTGCTCCTAGAATTTCAATATGCAGGCTTTTTACAAAGGATATGTTGATTTTGGAGTACTTTGTCCCCACAAACAAGGTTGACATTTGGGGGTACATGGAAAGACTCACTAACCTAGGTTAGCCAACTAAGCCGTGCTTGAACGTTGACACCAGCAATTGGTTATCGCCATCATAACCACAGTGAGGACTATTCCCGAAGTTCAAAAGGAATTTCAAATTTTAGGCCAATATAGCTTAAATAAATACTTAGCCGGCTTGAAGAATTTTTCCAATTCTGATTCAAAATAAAAAATAAAATTTTTTTTTTTTTTATTTTTTTTTTAATTTCTAAGTGGGACAGTTCATACTTTAATTACACGGTGCCTTCGTTCATGGGAACCTTCTACATTGGATTAGCATCCTCTTCCCGCTGTCAATACCTCTCCCTATCTCCCCGGTTCCTTTTGGCCGGGCTCGTCACTTTTGAGCCCAACACCGGTCAGTCTCTCCGAAACCGGACCCGGTCTCTCCACCATTATTACCAATGCCGGGGGAGGTCTATTTACTAAACGAAGAAAATGGACCCTGTCCCTCCACCATTATTAACAACGCCGGGGGGGGGTCTATTTACTAAACGAAGAAACCAGACCCTGTCTCTCCATTATTACCAACGCTGGGGGGGGTTCCATTTACTAAACGAAGAAACCGGACCCTGTCCCTCCACCATTATTACCAACGCCAGGGGGGGGAGGTCTATTTACTAAACGAAGAAACCGGACCCGGTCTCTCCACCATTATTACCAATGCCGGGAGGTCTATTTACTAAACGAAGAAAATGGACCCTGTCCCTCCACCATTATTAACAACGCCAGGGGGGGGTCTATTTACTAAACGAAGAAACCGGACCCTGTCCCTCCACCATTATTACCAACGCCAGGGGGGTCTATTTACTAAACGAAGAATTGTGGGAGAAAAAAAAAAAAAAAGGAGATATCGCTAAACGTAGGCCACCAACATACACAGAATGCAGTCAGGATGGCGGAGATGAACTAATAATTTGTTTTCTCCTCAATTTGGATATTTTTTTTGCAAAAAATAAAAAATAAATCTGAATTTTTCTTCTCCATTCTCCACTTTTCCCAATTTAGGTGATAAGCCCCGCCACTCTCCTGCCACTTGGACATTGCCTCTGCTCCCCAGACAGGACCCCCCCACCCCCCATTATCCCGGAAATCCCAGCCCCCTTTACCACAAATCCGGATATTTCAACCCAAAAACACCTCCCCCCCCCACCCCCCCGCTACCCCGGTCCCCCCCCAGGCCGTGTCAGGGAGGAGGAGGAGGAGGGGATAATGGCGCAGTGTGGGGCCCAGTGAAGGCCGGGGGTCTCGGGGTGTCTGACACCGGGGTACCGGCCCCCGTATCCCCCCCGTTGCCCGGTTACCTTTGCCCGGGTCACGATGTGCGTGGCCAGCTTCACCACCGCGAAGTTCCCCTTGCCGATAGTCCGCTCTATCTCGTAGTACCCGATCCGGGCCGGGGCCGCTCGGTGCGGCGGGAGCTGGGTCCCGGGATCCCCGGGCGCTGTGGCCGCCATCTTGTTCGACAGAGAGAGAGGGAGAGAGAGCCCGGTCTGACCGGCGGACACCGCGGCCTGACGTCAGAGCGGGGCGGAGCTACGGTGACGCGTTTGCTGGTGGGCGGGGCGAGAGTGACGCCATGATTACAGAAAGAGGGGTGTCTGTATGGCAGGGCTCACTGAGCACTGAACAGCGTGCAACTACAACTCCCGTGATCCTCTGCCAGCTCTGAGCATGACAAAGCATCATGGGAGTTGTAGTTCCACACTAGGCCTGTTAGTTTTTATTTTATTTACCTCTCCCTTATCTAATGACACTGGAGAGATAAAGGGGTCTACACCATGCTGGGACAGGGTTTATTTTATTTTTATGTCATTGATAATAATAGTAATAATCAATATGCCAGACCAGCTTTATAGGGCAATGCAGTGCTTTCTGTGAGGGAGGGGTCAATGTCAGATTAAATAATAATAATAAAGTTTTAAAGAATATATATTCACTTTTAGGTTTGTTCTGTAATGTGGGAAATTTGAGGGAATTTATTTTAGACTTGCATTTGAAATTCACTTTGAATTCCCCAAATGTCACACTTTATGGAATAACCTGTTCTTAGTGCAATAAATAATACAGATTTCATTTATTTTATGTTGTTGCGTTAGTAAAGCTAAAAAAAATAAACACACACACACACGTGCACATGCTAGAAAACATGACCTCTGACCTTAAAACAGTCACCTCGGACCTTAAAACAGTCACCTTTGACCTCAACACAATAACCTCTGACCCGGAGAGTAAACAAGTAGCCACGGGCTCTAACCCAAAGCCAGCGACCTTTAACCTTAAAATAGCCGCTTGCAGCCCAAACCAGTAACTCCTAACCCTAAACCTGTAACCGCTCACTGTACTCAGAGCTCACTTTTGGTTTTTGTCAAACTGTTGCGAAACGTGAACGTGTGTGAAGACTTTTTGCACCATAACCACACTACAATGAGCTGTAATAGTCATTGGGGTTTATTGACTAAACTCTGAATTGTAATAAATTGAAGTCTGAATGGCAAAATTTAGGCCGAAAATAGCATATCTGGAAACCTTCTCCAACTATGTTCTAGTGACCGTTTTGGCTATTTTAGCCTGAATTATAAGAGTCGGATTTCAATTCGCTTCTGTTCAGAGTTTAGTGAATAAACAATTAAAAAGTGAGAATAGAAATTACGTCTTATGACATCTCTTGCTATTGTTAATCGTATTTACTAATCTCCTGATTTACACAGCAATATTCTAACTTAAAAAAAAAAAAAATGTGCAATTTTAATCTTATGTCACAAATTGTCAGCTTTGATAGGTCTGTAACTGCTATTGTGGCATTGCAGATATGTTTGTACCTCCTTTTGCACTATAAAAATAAAGAATTAAACAAAAAAATTTAAAAAATCTCCCCGTAATGGCCCACAACAAAGGGAGGAAGAGGATTGCTGAATATAACATTTTGGGCTATTATGGCAGGTGCAATAACATATTACCTGAAGAAAACAGTGGGATTTGGAGGTACCAACGCATACTTCTTATCAGCCTATTCATTTTTCAGAGAATTTTCAAGGTAACTACTCTAAACCCTATGTTTATGGGTTCCCACATCACTTTTTTCAGAGAATTCCCAAGGTGACTCCACTCAATGCCCTATGTTTATGGATTCCCACGTTGCTTTTCTTCAGAGAATTCCGAAGGGGATTCCACTCTAGGCCCTATGTTTATGGGTTCCCACGTTGCTTTTCTTCAGAGAATTCCGAAGGAGATTCCACTCCAGGCCCTATGTTTATGGGTTCCCACGTTGCTTTTCTTCAGAGAATTCCGAAGGAGATTCCACTCCAGGCCCTATGTTTATGGGTTCCCATGTTGCTTTTCTTCAGAGAATTCCGAAGGTGATTCCACTCTAGGCCCTATGTTTATGGGTTCCCACGTTGCTTTTCTTCAGAGAATTCCGAAGGTGATTCCACTCTAGGCCCTATGTTTATGGGTTCCCACATTGAAGTTAGTCCTCAAGATTAAACTTGTAGTGTGGACAGTGAGGGGTATATTTGACTGGGTTGTCCTTGCTCCTTTCCAGTTCTTTGTTCAGCAGAACAATGTCAAACAAGGAATTTCATTAATCTACGTCAATAGATCAAACAGGAATGTTCACTGAAGTGGAAATAGCAGGGAATTCAATGTGATTTCAAAGTGAATTTCACGTTGAAGGTCAAGTAGCAGAACTTAAAGCATAGCGGACTGGAAAAATATTTCAGGTTTAGTTGTTTCGACTAAGTTTGAAATTCACCTTGAATTCCCTTCAAATCTTACTTTAGTGAATATCCCTGACATTTAGAAAATTATTTGTTTATTTAAAAACATTTGCAGACAACCCATTTTGTAGAACATCTGTTCTCTTCACCTCTAGGATCACATACACTGATCACCCACAACATGAAAACCACCTGCCTAATATCTTGTAGGTCCCCCTCGTGCTGCCAAAACAGCTCTGATCTGGCACCAAGACATTAGCAGCAGATCCTTTAACTCCTGCAAGTTGCAATGTGGGGCCTCCACGGATCGGAATTGTTGTTCCAACACATCTCTCAGAAGCTCAATCAGATAGAGATCTGAGGAACTTGGTGGTCCAGGAAACACCTTGAATGCTTTGTCAAACCATCTTTGAACAATGTTTGCAGTGTGCATTATTCTGCTAAAAGAGGACACTGCCATCAGGGAACACCAATGCCATGAAGAGGTGTAAGTAGTCATCTTATTCAGTGTAACATCCAAATGAATGCAAGAATCCAAGGTTTCCCCGCAGAACCTTGACCAGAGCATAACACTGCCTCCACTAGCCGCCTTCTTCCCTCAGTGCATCCCGCCACCATCTCTTCCTCAGGTATATGACGCACACGCACCCAGCCATCCACCTGATCTAAAAGAAAATGTGATTCATCAGTCCTGGCAACCTTTTTCCATTGCCTCATTGTCCAATTGTGATGCTCATGTGATGTGCCCATTGAAGGTGTTTTCGGCGGTGGATGGAAGTCATCATGGGCTCTCTGACTGATCTGCAGCTATGCAGAGTCATACACAGCAAACTGTGATGCACTGTGTGTTCTTACACCTTTCTATCATTGTCAGCATTATATTTTACAGCAATTTGACCTGCAGTAGCTCTTCTACGTGATCGGACCAGACAGGCTAATTTTGTTAGCCACATGCATCAATGAGCCTTGGGCACCCAAGATCCTGACACTGGTTTGCCTTCCTTGCACTACTTTTGGTTGGTACTAAGTACTGCATAATAGGAACACCTCATAAGACTTGTTTTGGAAATGCTCTGACCCAGTCGTCGAGCCATCATTACATGGCCCTTGTCAAAGTCACTCTGATCTTTTCTTCTTTTTTATTCCAGTCTGATGCTCCTGGCTCTGCCCCTGAGCTGCCGGTTTGGCTGACATCATCAGAAGTTGTGATCCGAGCCAATCACAATGCTTTTCCATAGGATTGTGGCAGATCGGGGCAGAGCCAGCACAAGCCAAACACAGCCCAGGACAATATGTATCTCTTCATAGAGATGCATTGAATCACTGCATCTCTATGAGGAAAGTTCAGTGTCTCCATTCAGAGGGTGGAGACACAAGGTCAGTCACACTGTGCAGCACTGCCCCAGGAAGCACCTCTAGCAGCCATCTGAAGAGAGGCCAGTGGAGTTATCCCTAGGCTGTAACGTAAACACTGCATTTTCTCTGAAAAGAGTGTTTACAGTAAAGATCTAGAAGGAATAAATATACTCACTAGAACAAATACAATAAGCTGTAGTTGTTCTGGTAACTAACAGCAAAAGCATTTAATGGACTGCAGTACTATCAGGTTGCTGACTCCAACACAAGGATATTGAATCCCTTTAACCAGAATCTTGTGTGGATATTCCTTAATAAATGCATACAATAAAATCCAAATGTAAACCTGATCTGCTAGGAAGGGGAATGTGCTTGGATGTAAAAACAAACAAAAAAAAACCCCACAAAGCCAGTTTTAGAGATGTCACTATTTAAGTCTATGGTCATTTTTATAGATAGACAATGTTTCCAAATGATTTAATAGTATTGAATCATTCATAAAGTTTATTCAATCGCAAATTCAGGTGTCAGTTAACAGAGCAGAGTTCAGAAACTTCAAGTCAATCAGGATACTAATTATATCATAGGCAGCTAATCGCTGGTACAATTACTTACTGAAGTGGGAAATGCTAGGAATGCAAAGTGAATTTCAATTTTTAGGATAAAAACAACTGAACTGTTAACATAGCTTTGAGACTTTGAAAATGTTAACATTGTAGCTGTTTTGAGGTAAAATTTTAACTGGCCTTTACCTATAAAGTGTTCACAATAGCTTGCTTACTTTAACCCTTTAAGGACACATGACAGAAATATTCCGTCATGATTCCCTTTTATTCCAGAAGTTGTGTCCTTAAGGGGTTAAAGCAGGCTTCCGCAAACTCTGGCCCTCCAGATGTTGCTGAACTACAACTCTCATGATTCTATGAATGAAATAAATAGGCTGAGAATCAGGGGGGTTGTAGTTCAGCAACATCTGGAGGGCCAGAGTTTGGGGAAGCCTGCACTTTAACGGGACATTATAGTCACCTAAACAACCTTCGCTTAATGAAGCAGTTTTAGTGTATAGATCATGCCTCTCAGGTTTCACTGCCATTTAGGAGCTAAATCACTTTGTTTCTGTTTATACAACCATTTCCACGCCTCCCCTGGCTCTGATTGACACAGCCTGCATGGAAAAAACAAAACTGTAATTTACCTTAAACAATTGTATCTCTTTCTCTGTAAATTGAACTTTAATCACATAAAAGAGGCTCTTGCAGGGGGGCGGGGCCGGACCGCCATGCTGACCGGTCGCATGCAGGAGAGGCTCTGGGGAAACCCGGCCTTTTAAGCTATTCACAGTGGATCTTCACACACACAAAACGGGCCAAAAGACACCCATAGCTGTGGGAGCGGCGGCGGATCCCGAGATCGGGAGTTCTGATCCTCTGAAAGGGGCACGGAGCTTCGAG